GCCCTGGGCAGTAGCCCCGATTGCCCCTACTGTAAATCCAGCACTGTATATATATATATATATATAATTAAGGTGGTCTTTAATATGGATATTTTAATATAGATTGTCCTAATGTTAATATTAAGAGATAAAACTTTTAGATATTTTTTTTATCAATTTGAAAGCATTTGAGCCCCTGGAAGCAAAAAAATTCGAAAATATCCATATTGAAGCCACCCTATACATATATATATATATATATATATATATATGTGTGTGTGTGTGTGTATGTGTGTATGTGTGTGTGTGTGTGTGTGTTAAGTACGAGCAAAAGTAAGTTCGAGGGCGCGTATTGCATATGTATACGTGTATATGGATGTACTTATAATGCGCATTAATCGGCATGTTACTTTCCAATCAGAACTTGTTGACATTTTATTTAAACTATTATTAAATATTATAGCTAGCCACAGGAGATAAACCATGCTCATTTCGTTAAATATAATAAATATAAGAAGATACACAACATAGCAAATAATGTAATAATCTACACATCAAGACAAGACAAAATGATATCGAGTAGGCGAAAACGATTGAATACTGTGTGCAATTACGACTAACAATATAGAGAACAAAATAAACTAAGGCTTCTGGTTTCTGGTGTACCTGAACTTGCGAAGTCCATGTACACCCCGACTCTAGAAGACATTGAACCAGTTGTGCCCAGTCCTTGAAAAGGAAAATTAAAGATCGACGTATTAAAACCTTGTAAACATTACCAATTACCAGCTTTCATATAATCCTTTATTATAATTAATTAGAATAAAAAACATGCATCATGTTTGATTTCTTATTTCCAAAACTCTTGAGGGGCAAACTATATCATAAGGTTGAGTATAATAGTCCCATATTATTATTTATTATAGCAAGAGCCTGAATGATAGACGAAATTTTTTTTTCATAAGATTTTTTCCACATTATTTTGCACAAGTACTTCAAATATACATATATAACAACCCTTATTTTCCAGAATTCCCTAATAATAACTGTAGTATGCTTAAAGATTTATATAAACTTACTTGTAAAAGATACGCTCACGCACATGTACACATATAGGTACACACCAACGAAAATACATGCGCACTTATAAATATGCTCATATACACAAAAATAGATACAAACGCATACATACAGGTATATGTATATATATATATATATATATATATATATATATATATAGGGTGGTCCTTAATATGGACATTTTCGAATTTCCTTGCTCCCAAGGGCTAAAATGGTTCCAAATTGATAAAAAACAATTCTCTGAAAGTTTTAGCTCTTAATATTAACTTTTAGATAGTGCGCAATTCAATCAAACTTCGTATGGAAATAGCATGGAAAAATTTTGAAAATTAAAAAAAAATTTTTAGGTATAACAGCGACAAGTAAATTAAAAGTGAAAATTCGTGTCATTTTTTATTGAAAATTCGACGCTCTGCAAAATTTTTGAAAATTTTTTCATGCTATTTCCATACAAAACTTTGATTAGATTGCGCTCTATCTAAAAGATAGTATTGAGAGCTAAAACTTTCAGAGAATTGTTTTTTATCAATTTGGAACCATTTGAGCCCTTGAGAGCAAGAAAATTCGAAAATGTCCATATTAAGGACCACCCTTATATATATATATATATATATATATATATATATATATACGAGTATATATATATCGGATCGAGCGGTACATCAATAAAAATTGTATAATTTTTTTCAAGTTTATTTCAAATGCCAATGTTTCGTCTAAAAACTATATAATAAAAACCAAACAACACTTTACATAAAGCATTACGAAACATATCTGTACTAACTAATATTTATGAGCACTAATATATTACCATGTTAAAACGGCTTAATAATTAAACGCTATTAAAAATGAAAGCGTTTTTAATGAATTCATTTTAATAACTAACTGAATTAATTTTAAATATGTGCAGTTAACCAAAACCTTAATACTTTCATTACTACAGTAGACGAGAACAGAAAGTAACTACAAACCATCGTAAAATATTGTAAATTTGTCACTATTGGAATTTTAAATTTTTTAATTTATGCTTACAACAATCACCGTAACAGTGCAGTATTTGATGCTAAACGGATCCATGTAAATGATGGGGTTAGGGAAAGATCGATAAAAATTAGATAATAAAAATCGAAAAAAAAATAATTAATAAGCATTTCAAATAGCAATCAAAATAATATCGATGCAATTATATGTAAAAGAATGTACTTAAAAAACCAATAAAACTCTAGTTCAATCAGATTTTTGTCAAAAGGGCATTTAATGCAATTTGCGTTTTTTCTGCGTTTTTTTACAAATTGTTGATAAGTCAAAAATGCATCTATAGCACGCAGTCTTGCGTTTGAACTCTCGTCAATTTTTTTATCATTTTCAACAAATTGGTTCATACAGTCATAGTGATCGCAAATACATTCACAAACACCATTAAAAGTTAATTTTTACCGTTCTTTGAAATCATCAATATCTATCATTATTTGTCTCCTGCGGTTTGTTTTGCTAATTGAAGCATTCCTGGACAGAAAAAGAGCGTTAATCGAAATAGCGCTAAGTGAAGTGTTAAGCGGGGTATTATTGTATTTCAGATATATAAAATTTCTACTTGCAATTTTATCTGTTCAAATCGTGATTTCACTAATGCTCGTCATTTTCCACAGTCAGGGCGCACGTTCTTTTTTTTTCAAAAATACCGAACTCGATAACGTTGTCAGCGATATCATTGGGAAGCATACTTTAGATATGTACGAAAAACCAATAGGTTCAACTTGATTAAAAAATCATATCAACTATTTTTTGAACGATAAAAATAATATCAATTGAATTTCCAAAAAGGGTTTCGAGGCAAACTATATATACACGTATCAAAAAATATCAGAAGAAGCAGTGTGCGCTTCTTCCGAAATTCTGCCTCTGAATATCTTTTGTTAGCAAAGAAAAGACAGACATTTGTAAATAAAAGTCATCAACTCTTAGGCTCAACCTAAGCTTCAAGATACATTGGTTTTGAACCAATGATAACACCATTTGATGCCACAGTAAAGGGTAGATGAAGTGGTCAACAATCATCAACTATCACCAGCAAGCACAACTCTCCAGAATTCCACGTTTCATTTGTGTGTCTACGTTTTAGTGCGCAAAGTGATGACGTAACGAAAGAATTACACCAGATTTACTAGAAAAGTGATATTGACAAAGACTGCTTGAAACGCCACTAGAACAATTGCAAGAGACTTGCGTTCCATGAAAAAAAGAGAGCAAATGATGTTCCTTAGAGGAATCGAAAGTATAACGCCCCCCATGAAACAATGCCCTCAACCGAGGTTTTAGTCGATATTACTATTATTAAGTCTCAGGTCTGGCATGTGTAAAGACCTATGCGCCTGGGAGTAACTTTGGCAAAATACACACACATATCACAATTTTAAAATTCTGTAAATTGCTATCTCATCTATGCATACATTTACATACATGCACACATATAATATCCAAATATATTAGTAAACTCAAGTTTAATCCACATAAATGATAAAGTTTGAAAATTGGGTTCATTGAATAAGTTTACAAACATCAAGCCAATCCTGGAAGATAAAACAAATATGTATCTTGCACATACCACGAATTCTGAACTTTATCAGAGTATGGTCACGTCAGTATTATACACTGTTTTTTAATAATTTAATTTGGTAATCTGCCTTTTGGCATAGAAAAGCAGCGCAAGTCCAATAGCTGTTTTCTAATTTAGCTCAATGTTTATTAAATGAATATTTTGAAAAATATATATGTATTTTAAAAAAACGCGTTCTTTTTATATACTTTCAACACAAATCTTATTTTCAGGTAGAAAGTAAAAATAAATGTCCCAAAAATCATTTCAATGCACGTCATGTAGTAGGATATAGTAGTAGTAGTAGGATACATTATATTACTATTGTAACGACTGGGCATTGCATCAATATTTTTTTAAATTAAATAGGGTCATTAACTTCGTTTTGACTGCATAATCATATATCAATTTTATTAAACAAAAACAAAACAAAAATCGAAAAATTGTGTAAATCAACTGTGACTTTAGATTAAAAGTGAAGATAACTCTTGCCAAAATGTATGAATTTTTAATTCACATTTTTTATAATTAATGAATTTATATTGATGTAATGTCCCGTTGTTAGTCCATATATATATACACATATATATATATATATATATATATTATATATGTATGTTGTGTGTACTTGTGTGAAAAAAAATTATGCGATAAGTATTGAATCTTCTGATCAAAATAAATACAAAAACTTTAGCTGAAACGCATGAATTCTTAATAAACATTTATTTATAATGCTAAATTAAACTTTTATTGATGTAATGCCCAATAACACACACACAAATATATATATATATATATATATATATATATATATATATATATATGGCAGTGTGTTTTGTTTATTCTTATGTCTGCTTACTAAACTACACACATGCCCTATATACATAATATTACAGTCTTTGCCTACGTTTATTTATATGATAGCAAAAATATTGAGAAAAACTTCGTTACTGTAGATATGTTGCCTGTAAGTCCTGCATAGATTTTAGCTTTATACTCTTATTAATAAATTCGAATTCACGTTCCTATTATATATATATATATATATATATATATATATATATATAGATATATATATATATATATGTATATACATATTTGATTTTTTATCTCAAAACATGAATGTGCAGGCAGTGCTCATGACAAATTTTCAAGCAACAGTTGCAATATTATAAGAAAATTAATGTTAAAACGCAAGATCTCAAATCTATTTGTTTCTTTAGTTTTAATCTTTAAAAATTGAAAAATGGAAAAATATTAGCAATATTAGTTATCGCAAGATATATATGAAAAAGCAAAATATGTAAACTAAAAATAGATAGTTTTAAAATAATATTTTACTGACCATGGAACACTGCTCAAAATGCTGCTGCAGCGCCATTTGTGTAAGAAGAAATCCATCTTCACCCCCATGATAAGAAGTACCGCGAACATACGGAGCGCTATGCACAGCCTCACGCGGGCTGCAAGGAGCGCTATGGTCTGTAGAAATTCCACCGCCACCACTATCACCACCGGTAGCGCCAGGACTCGAACCAGGACTAGGACGCAAACCAGGACTACGATAACCTCCGACACCTACAGCACTCATCTGAGAATAATAAACTCGTATTTAAATCCTTAATTAATGCGTTCACTAATAAATGAGAATAAGCTGAAATAATAATTGCAGTATATTTTTTCTGAAATATCCAAGTTTCCTGATTTACAAAAATGGCAATATGACTCGGATCAATTTTTGCACCATACTAAGAATTTTAAAACATTGTTCAGTAATATAATTAATTAAATAAATAATATAATTATTTGAATTAAAAAAAATTAAACAATAATTGAATAAATTATACAAAAAATTGTAAAATATTGACATAAGACTTATTATATCATTATACAGGCGGCTTATAAGGTAACTAAATAAATAAATACAAAACTGAACATGATTTTAAGCAATACAAATTCATCATAAAACTAGCTGTAAGTGGAATTCTGTCTTAAGGCAATTAAGGCATCGTGCCTTAAGGCATATTGCTGGAACTTCCCGTACCAAAAATTATTATTTTTTTAAAAACGATTAACGATTTTTGAGAAACTATAAATTGGACAAAAAATTACTTTTTTTTGAAAAAAAATTTTTTTTTTAATTTTTTTTTTGTAATAAATTTTTTTTTCTTTATTTTGACATATTGTGGAATATCTGAATTTTTCTTTCAAAGCAATCGTACTGCTTTAACTGCATAGGGACAAAATATAAAGCGCGTAAGCGCCGCGTCGCTGTCTAACGCATAAGCATTGGTACGGAACCCATAGGAATGTTAACAAAATGTATACTTATTGTTAAAATCTCTATAAAATATCTGATAATTTGATGTGCATTTGTCTAATGATCATTTTTGACCGCCAAATGGCTCATTTTTTTACTTTTTCCTCCATATCTCCGAAACCGCTAAACCTACCTTCATGAAAATTTTATCGATTTTTCATCTTGTCAATACAAGTGAAATGTTTTCTGAATTATTCAAATCGGACGCTCCGTTCTCTTAAAAACTGAGTAACCGTTTTCGGCACTTTTTGCCCCATATCTTCGGAACGGCTTGACCTCCCTTCGCCAAAAACTAATCAGCACGTCTCCTTATCAATACGAATCGAATGTTTTTTGAATTATTCAAATCGGTTGATCCGTGTTCCCGAAATCGTCGACGAAAATTTGTATCCGCACATACATACACACACGTACATACATACACACACATACACACACACACACACACACATACATCCATTTTTTCTAAGGTATGCCAAAATGTTCAGAAACCTCTGAAACGTAAAGATATACAAAAATTTTCATTTTCGATTTTCGGCCCATTGCTATAACTACCCACGGGAAGTTAAAAATAAGTAAAATTATTAGTTACGTTTAGAATTGTTTCTATGTAGACAATGGCGTTCTATGTATGTTAAATCACAATCAAACTCTTAATAAACTAGATTTCTCAAACGATTAGTGTTATTTTTTATTTATTCACTAGTATATACTAATTATTAAAATCTATCTTTATTTCCTTTATGTGAAACGGAATGCAGTAAAATATAAATTATTAACTAGTCGAGAAAAGATAGCTAGCAGAAGAGATATATTAATTTTAGTTCATTTTTTTTTATTTCGGTGAAAAACCTGATGTTGCAAAAAGATTTTCAGAACAAAGAAATTTTGAAGCCGCCAATTTATATTGTCGTAAAGCAGCAATTCCCAACGTGAGGCGCACGCCCCACCGGCGGGTTATTTGGAAATAAATGTGATTTGAATGTAATGAAGTATAGTATCAATAAAACATTTAACAAAAAATGCTTATTAGATCTAGCTAAGGTGTCCCGGTTTGGTCAGGACAGTCATAGTTTTTAACGTTGCTTAACTGGTGCCGGAGTTATGTTGTTTCGTCCGGGTTGACTTGACTTTTCAAAAAGTTTAGCTTGAATTTGAATTCTCCTCGTTACTTTATAATAAAATTACAACTACCCATCATAATCTGAAAAGGATATATGCGATAAACTGCTTATATAAAACTAAACATTATGAAAGATAATGTTGAGGAATGCAAAAATTCTTAGGGTTCAAATAGCCCTTCACTAATTATTGTAAACTTTCGTTTTCAAATTTACTAAAACTACCCAGAAGTTAGGTTAACAAAGTTTCTGACTGGCATAAATGCCTTAAAGGGGTATTCTGATGTAAAAATTAAAAAAAATCGATTTTATTTTTATTTCATATTTTCAAAGTTTAACTATCTAAGAATATGGATACGAGAAGGTTTTCGAAAATTTGAATTATTTTCGGAGATATAAGCATTTTACTGACTCGGTCTCCATACTGATTTGGCTTCACGCAAAACTTTAAAAGCGTTTTTCTCAGAACAGACTTTTTCAGTACTGTTGACACGATTTCTCGAGTTTTAGTCGACCGATTCACTTGAAATGTTCAGAGAGTCTTGTTTATAGACCCATATATATATATATATATATATATATATATATATATATATAACAAATGTATTCTGAGTGGATGATATATATATATATATATATATATATATATATATATATATATGTATGTATACGGGTATACAGAAATAATCTTCACTAACATCTCAGTAAAGTCAGTATATCAGCACATAGCTGAAGCTGATCAATGTATGTTTATACAAATACAAATACGCAAAATTCTGTACGACTTCCTCATTACGCGAAAAGTAAAATTTTCGATAGATATATACGATATTGATAATATTAGTTACATGGGAAGTTTGCTATAATGTATCTAATAATAAGATTATTAATATACAAATACGTCTTCTGTATAAATTACTATATATTTTCTATATTTTCGTCCTTAAATTTTGCTTGATTTTGATAATGACATATCAATATGCCAAGCGCAGTATATATACAATAAAATTTTAAAAAATTCTTGAATGTTTGCCTCATATGGAGATCTTGAAGCTTGTATATGACCGTAATGTAAAAAATCAACATTCAACAAAATAATTTTTATGCCGAATTTTTATACATCTAGTAATTTTATAATTATATACCTTTGGTGATTGTTGCGACATATTTAAGTTCCCATGAGATCCATATAAAACGTGAGATGTATTTCTAGGACTCGTTTGCCCGCAAAAAAGATTATGCCGTCTCCCTGAGTTTATATCATTAGGACTTGAACAACTTTGAAATGAATTCTCGTGCGAAGCCTGTAAATAATTTATAATATTTCTACAAAAAATAATATTTCTATGCTAAACTTAGTTTGTATGTATCGCTATGCGTTATGTTTGGAAATACAAAAGCTATCAAGTAATCATATCTCTATACAATAAATATTTATTGAATTAGAATATTAATATTTGGACAATTTCTCTATCCGTTAGAAAAATAATTTGATGATGATAAAAACTATATATAAACAGAATGTGCTATGAATTGGTTGGAGTAATTACTTAATCAATTAAGAGATAATTTATTAATGATATTACATATTATAGTCGTAATAAGCGGTTCCAGCGATACGAATCCACTTGCCACACTTAACAAGTATTTCTTCGTTATAAACGATAAAGTCACAAACGCAAGTAATATCTACCCTACAATGCAAAAAATGTTAAAAAATAATGTGAAAGAAAAATTACGCGTTCGTTCACAAGGAAGCAGTAACCATGGCAGCTATAATTATTTAGGCGGCATTATTTTTAACTAGGAGAAAAGCCAGAAAATCCGACTTGCTTAGTTTATATTGATTCGTTTGAGACCCAAAAGTATGTGGATGTATGTATGTAAGCTGATATTTGAAAAATGGTTGAATTATAAATATTGATTGAAGTTTGGAATGATAGGCTTTTGGTGCGTCCATTAATCACGAGATCGAATTCTGAAAGATTTTTAGACCACCCCTCCCCCTGGTGATATTCAAATTCCCGCCTCCCCCACCAAACATGACGTGTTTGTTTAATTACGTGAAAAAATTGTAACATTCTTTATTTTTTCGAAATATTCGGATTTTATTAAAAATTTCAGGTGAAAAATAAATACACGTGATATCTTACTATACCCTTCCTCCCGCACGTGATATTTCGTAATTTTTTGTCAAGAACCCCTCCCCCTAAAAACCTCACGTACCCCTTTAGGACCTACAAGTGAGTGTTTGTGCACTACTATAATTACAAATATTATAACTCTGTTTGATATTATAGGATATCAATAAGAAACCGCATTCACTAGTTCCTTGTGCAGAGAAAAACTTTACTTTCGAAATAACACTGTTGAAAATTTTATCTAAATAGCTAAATCTCACTTCTCATTAATTAAGCTGATAATTTACATGGGAAGTTTATGCAAATTTTCTTTAAAAGCCCCTCACACCTAGTTATAATTTAAATTCCAGCTATTTTACTATCTAATATATAACTAATATGCTAACAAGTCTAATTGTATTCTTCTATAGCTTTTTGAATGTAAATTCATGGCTCATTCTGTTATATATATAAAACGAAAAACTTACATATATAAAAAATTACAAACAAATGTAATAAATAAAAAAAACTTGAAAACAAATAAAAATAAATAACAAACCTTGGTGCGTTGCGAGTATCTATGGTTAACAGGGACTGACAAATGATTCTGAAAAATATTTACACTACATACAAATTGATAATATTAATAAATAAAAATAATAATAAAATAAGAACTTAATACAAATAAAAATGGAATAAAACAATGTGGATGATAACATAAATTATTTGTCACCTATACAAACATGAAACTATTGAATATTGCCCAATTATGGAAAATAAAACTAACTTAACGTATTATTCCTAAGGCAACAAAATGGTTGACCTATCAATATATTTCTCTTGGATTTTCTCGAAAACAAATGATTTATTCTTTAACCCTATTCGGTCGAATTTAATTTGGAGATAGGTATCGTTGCCCTACTCGGAATTATTTTCCGCCGAATGAGCACAACACGCAAGTTTAGGATGTGTAAACAAGATTAATTCGTTCTAAATATTGACGAAAGTCATGTTGTTGCTTTACAGGCAAGAGTTTTTATCAAGTTGTCAGATAGAAAACCTAGAACCCGCATAAATGTCAAAAAAAAACTATATTAGATAACAGGGTCTTTCTGACCCAGTTTCATAGCATAGTGACTTTGCAATTTATGTGTAAAAAGTCTGAATGATATGACATGTTGACAGTATTCAGTATGATTCGGTAGCATAGTGTATGGAAGTTGAAGCGTAACATGGCCTTTGTCATAACATTGGTCTGTTGTGCGGCAGAATCGGCCCATTCAATTTTTTTTGTGAACTTTAAATACATTTTTATTTAATACACTCATCTAGTATTGGTTTTGAATAAAAGTTGTGTTTTATAATCACTGTATGCTGTAATTATAAAACACGATTCGAATTCAAGTAAGTAACTTGCCATGGTGGCTAAGAGTGGACAAAGAACCGAAATGGGTTGATTTCATGCAGCAACGCCGGAAAAGAAGTATTTTTGCTTGGAAACATATTTAAATGTATATTATTTCAAGTGGAAACGGGCATCACTACTTGTCCAGAATGGCCCCGATGGGTACCAAATTTGAGACCCTGTAATTTGTAAAACCTAAGCTCTTAGTACTACTGACTGAGAAAATGCAAACCCAATCCCGAACGTATGCCAACAGAAATGTGATTGAAAAAATAAAAAATATAAACATGCACCGACATGTTTCATCCATTTAAAACAAACCCAAGGATCTGGGCGCAATGCAAAATAGGTTTCATCCACGTATTTAAACGATTCAAGCAATTTTAAAGGTCTATTTAAAAAATTATACCAAATAAAAAGTTTCACCCTATGTGGCTGAGTATCCTTGAGAACATGAGAGTGTACCACTTTCTTTAAACTTTCTTTACAAATTACAAACAGTAATTAAAATGAACATAAATTAAAAAATAAACATAGTTCTATTCTTACTTGTTACTGCCTACAAATTAAATCAAATGAAACATTGTTAAGTAGAAAAGATAAGAGCTAGTATACCCGTGCTTAAAGGACGTAAGCAAAGAGATGTATTCCCTTGCTGCCGCTATTGAATTCGGTTTAAATTAAACCTTAACGAACGAGTGCCGCCATACTCGCGACATTGTAAGTTATATAATAAATTTAATTATTGGTCTACAAGCAATATTAGACGAATAGACTTTTTCAAATCCAATAAAGCGATGTTGATTGTGCAACTTCTCTAGCTTTGTAAAAGAAGCCCTAAATTTCTTAAAAATTCGTCGACCTACTGGGCATAGTTTTTAATTATGCGCTCGTTGAAGGTTAAGAAATACTTTTAGGTAAATAATTTCAATTGCAACATATAATACCTAGGACATAGACAACTTCATGCGATTACCAAACTTCCTAGTATGTGTACTAAAAATATTGCATATACACCTAAGTCTGTTTTTACACGGTCTTTTTGTACACGGTTTTGATATAACACGGTTTGAAAATTGAATATTTTTAAATTTTTTACACGAATTTATTCCATTTAGCACGACTTGAAATTTTATGTACCTAAATTTTTTTTGTCAAATTAAATTTTTGCGAAGTATGTTCATTCACAAAAATGTATTTATGAAAGAAAAAAGTCTGAAACCATCGATAGTATCGATAGTTTGCAAACACTAGCTTAAAGATTTAAGTGAATTCCCCTTTAGCGCGTACAAACAATTTTTACTGGTCAAAGCAAATGTGAATAGCACTAATTTAATTCTTGTTCTTAAAAATTCTTGTTTTTCACCAATTTTAATAGGTTTTAGAGATTAGGAACGAATCACCCATTTTTGTATAAGGTCAATGTCTTTTTTTACACGTTTTTTTTTTACACGGATTCTTCTGGAACCAATCTCCGTGTAAAAACAGACTTAGGTGTATATATATATATATATATATATATATATATATATATATATATATCAACAATCGTCTAAGATAAATCAGTCCGAAATAACGCTCAACTACAAAGATTAAAATTTATTTTGATGAATTGTGAACGTTATTTCTAATTATTCAAAAAAATCTTTATTGAATCGACTTTCAATATACTGTTTGCGTTGCCATACTTTTTATTGATAAAATAATGCACATTTGCATAATTAAATTCTACATCTACATTAAATTTTCTAAAAAATAAAAGCGGGTATTCTAAAATGAACAATACTATATTTTAAACTGAAAGTATCACATTGATTAATATTAATTTTAGGAAATATTGCATGTTGCTGTAATATTAAATGTGACAAATTTCAATAACTGATTTTTTTTTTATTGCTCTTATGTTTTACAAAAATTGTGCTCGTTAATCAAAAATTTATTAAGTGTTAAAAATAAATTCAATTATAATTACAAATAAATTAGTTGTGTGACTAGTTGTCAGTAACCATTTAACTGATTTGTGTCCTAAGTTTAAAATGTGACATAAACCCATCACTTAACAAAATTGCAAAGTTAGATCATTGTAATTCATATCATCCCCCTTCAATAAAACTATACTTTCAAACAATTTCTAATTACATTCATTCTGTTTCTGTTGAACACTAAGGCAGTATATGATTATATAATTATTTACACACAAATATATATATATATATATATATATATATATATATATATATTTGAATTTACCGAATTATATGGAGAGCCACTATGCTGCACTTCTTCTTGGTCATGTGATGTATGCAATGGCGAAGGAAAATGAACACTTGTGAGATCAGGTAAAGAACCTGTATTATTTCCAATGGGAATTTGAAGTGTGCCAGAATCATGTGTTGGATATATACTGAAAATAATTCCAATGAAATATCATTAAATGTTTAAGACATATTACAACATGTTACAAATATGTACATATACATATTTTGTATATATATATATATATATATATATATATATATATATATATATCTATATATATATATATATATATATATATATATATATATATATATATATATATCTATAAATATATATATATATATATATATATCTAATATATATATATATATATATATATATATATATATATATATATATTGAAATATGTGAGTTTGGTGTTGATATATATTTTGATGAGTTATTTAGAATCGGGCAGTAACACCAAGTAAAAAAAACTAAAGTAGTTTTGAAATACTTTATTTATCCATACGTTTCGGTCTTCATCGAGACCGTCATTCAGTAGAAAACTAAAAGATTTTATATGGTGTAGGAGGAAAATAATATGAAGTTATAGAACTTATATATATATATAAGTACTTACAGAAATTAATTATACAAAAAAACACTACACTATTACACTGTGATAAACCAGGCTATTAAAAAAATTGCCATAAAAAAAATTAATTAGTTTAAATGTTCCAATTATTAATAGCCTGGTTTATCACAGTGTAATAGTGTAGTGTTTATATATTAATAACTCTTATCCTTCTAATCTCATAAACTCTGTCACGAACAATAGACTCAAAATTCTCGATAATAACATTAATATCTCTTCTTCTTCAACCAAAATCTCCAAAGACGATAACATTATTGGCAATGTTTGTCTCCCGTTTATTAAAGAACTCTTTCCCATTTTCAAACCTCAAATCACCCACTAGTTTAGAACGCACATCAAATATTGTCTATAAATTAAAATGCAATGATTGTGATTCCATTTACATAGGTGAAACTGGACATAATTTAATAAAACGACTAAAACAACATGATAACTCAAAAAATTCCTCGACAAAATCAAACCATGATAACAGAACATATAAAAAATTTTAAACATTCTTTTAACTTTTACAACGCTAGTATACTTTATCACAAACGGAACATTATTCAGAGGAGGTTTGCTGAATCTTGTCTAATCAGTATTAATAAATCTTGCATTAATAAAAGGTGTAATGCCTCCTTACTCTGTGAAAATTATCAGGTGATACTCAATAATATTTCCAAATTTGTTTCTTCTTAACTAACGTAATTCCGAACCTGTAAACCTACCCTTACGCGGTCCGATCCCGAATTTTGAATCTTAACCTCTTCACCCATACTTCGAAACACTGATTGTAAAAAGACCCGCCAACTATCCTTCAAACGGTCTCTTCAAATAATTTTTAAACACATGTTTCATTATTGCCTCGGAAACGTACGCATAAACTACTTTCTCCGTACAAAATATATTATATTTCACAAATATTTTATATTATATTATACTCTGTTCAACAAAAACAAAAAAACAAGTTAGTGTATATATGATAGTGCAAAATTATGTGCCATGTGCTAGTTACTGATGTAAGACCTTATTTATGTAAGTTACCTTTGTTGTTTATATATGTGTATGTGTTTGTTTATATATGTATACTAGCTGACCCGGCAAACGTTGTTTTGCTAAGTAAGGTATATTCTAAACAATTTCTAGAGAATCAAAAATATTAATACTATATGTGTATAAGGATGTGTTGTGTGAATGCTATATACAATGAGGTTTTATCAAAACAATGAACCCCATTAGTTTGTCTATGTTTTGTCAATACAATCAAACTGGAAGCTTTATACACTTTCTATAGATATCATGGTATAATCCAATCCAAGTCTTTTTTGGTATTTCAACTTATTGATTACGTTTTAAGCTTTTCAGATTCTTCTGGATTCTGGATTTTGTGTACAATTGTAAATAATACTACTGAGCTTATACAAATTTTTCAAATTTCTGCGAGGAGAGATAGTAAATGAATTAGATATAACTGCTTTGACCTGCTTTTTAAAAAGTTTCAAGTAACATACCTTAAATTGAAGTAAATTTAATAAATAGTATATACGTAGAGCAGGGCAAGGCACAAAGGTCCAATTTGAGTTTGAGCAAATATAAATTTTATTATGAAAATCAAATCAATTTTATCACAACAAATGACACATTTCAATGACAATTATCTTACTACGTTCAGTAAAACTACCAGCTACTTCATCATTGTAAAAATGTGCTTTTTTTCTGTCTTTCAAATATTTGTTATCTAGACCTTTTTACCCTATAGGCGGGGTAACTTGGAACGGCCAGATGGCAAACAGGTTTGATGTCTTATTTTAATTTTAAAGGTATTTTACAAAATAATTACATTTTTAACTAATGCTAAAAAAGTACCAACAGAAGAAATTACTTTTACTATGGATTTTCAAAGATGACCGTTTATCTCCCAATATCAAAGTCATAAGAATCAAGATTATAGCTGGTTATACACCTTATTTCCTTCACTTTCAAATAATGTTGTCAAACAATGCTTTAGCTTTACTGGTTTTTGACACTTTGGTCGTAGAACTTTTAACCCCGTACCTTCATATATTACTAACCATTCTTTGATGAATTCTGGGAAATTATAACTGGGAATAAGTTATTCGACAAAATGTACATGTAAATGTAAATGTATGTAATGCCCTTCTTCAGTTCTTGCATTTGCAATATTTCGCATTTTTCTTGCATTATGGCTTTGTTGGGAAAGATTCGATCGTTTTGGTCGCGGCATTATTAATTAAACTTCACTTCACCTTATATATATATATATATATATATATATATATATATTAATTGTTTAATATGAACAAAACAGCACTCAGATTTGTTTAACACAACTTTATTTTATGATTACAGACGTTTCGAGACTATGGTGTGTCTCATCTTCAGTGTAATTTCAAAAACAGTTACTTATATACTACACATTCTTTAATAACTTATTTAAATTTCATTTAATTTTTGATATACAAAAAACACCACCTATTCCTTGCAATGCTTGACACAGTACTGAGGAAACACATAACACTTACAGAAATATTCTAAACAAATTTGAAGTGTCTAGATGGAGACAGAATGGATATCATTATAATGTAAACAAAAGGAGTGCTATCGCATACAAAAAATCGATAAAATGTTTACATTATAATGATATCCATTCTGTCTCCATCTAGACACTTCAAATTTGTTTAGAATATTTCTGTAAGTGTTATGTGTTTCCTCAGTACTGTGTCAAGCATTGCAAGGAATAGGTGGTGTTTTTTGTATATCAAAAATTAAATGAAATTTAAATAAGTTATTAAAGAATGTGTAGTATATAAGTAACTGTTTTTGAAATTACACTGAAGATGAGACACACCATAGTCTCGAAACGTCTGTAATCATAAAATAAAGTTGTGTTAAACAAATCTGAGTGCTGTTTTGTTCATATTAAACAATTAATATTCGTTCCACTCATATCATAAAATTCTATATATATATATATATATATATATATATATATATATATATATATATATATATATATATATAGAACCAAGAACTAATATTCATTCACTATATTTAACATGAGGTAGTAGAGGTTAATTTCAATGACAGAAACACCGAATGACAGTTGACAATCGAAGGTAAATGTCATGGATGAAATCATTGATAGTATCATAGATTGAATAAACCACATAGATAGTTTATAAGTAAATAATTCAGAATTAGAATAAAAAACGGGATAAAAAGTATTTCATATGTTTCTCCTGGCTTTAAACTACCTCCCTGCCACCAAAAGATTACTGAGCCACAGCAACGCGTGGCCGGGCTAGCTGGTATATTTAGAATTTTCATTAGTATATATATATATATATATATATATATATAATGAATTAGAATGAAAAACGGGATAAAAAGTATTCTATGTGTTTCTCCTGGCTCTAAACTACCTCCCTGCCAATTTTCATCTAAATCGGTTCAGCCGTTCGTGAGTTATAAGTGTTGCTACTTAAGCGATCCTCTTTTATATATATAGATGTATATATGTATATATACGTATTGTGTGTATATATGTGTGTATATATATATATATATGTGTGTATGTGTGTATATATATATATATATATATATATGTGTATGTATGTGTGTATGTATATATATATATATATATATATATATATATATATATGTTTATATATGTGTATATATATATGTATACGTGTTTGTACATGTATATTGTATATATATGTACTATTTTATATGCATATTTATGTATATGCATTACGCTTTTTTATGTTTGTATATTTTTTTATTATTTTTCATTCCTTATGTTGTCTATCTGTTTAGTTATAATTGTCATTGTTGTTATAATTATAATACTTGTATCGATAGTTTTTTGTCCAATTTCTGTCATTTTTTTCCTAGTTTATATTAATTTCTCAATGTTCATTCTGTAGATCCACTGATGATGACATAAAATCCTATGTCGAAACGTTTGGCAAAAATTAAAGCTTAACTTTTAAATCTTTGCCTTTTATTTGATGTATTGCCCTTGAAGAACTTACTCATATATATATATATATATATATATATATATATATATATATTTGTTTGGGCAATATACATGAATGCAAATTTAGCATAAAAATGTATTTGTTTGTGCAAATACATGAATGCAGGTTGAGCATGTAAATGTTCTTTCTAAAAATAATTTATTGATCTTGATTTATATACAGTCAAACCCTCAGCTTCAACACATTATAAAATCTCACCTAATTCCTGGAACTCGTGGAACTTCACAGGATGATCGAGGCCTGCCGTCCATAGGTGGTTGAACCGAGTGCTCAAAATAGGTATCTAAAAAGAAAAAAATAATGTCTATCTATGTAAAATGGCTAGCAAACATATAAAATGGATCAATTCAAGATTCACTAGGCATCATAATCAATAATATATATATATATATATATATATATATATATATATATAAATATATATATATATATATATATATATATATGTATGTATATAAACAGAATTAATTACCTGTATGATTGATTATATTTGTATTTGGTAACAAACTGATTATTGAACAAATGTATTTAAAGGAGAAACACTTGACTTAAAATCTGTGTGTATGCGTGTGTGTTGTATTTATATATCAGGATGTAAATACACTAATAGTGTTAACTTTAGATTAAATCACAAACTGTTATATGATTCTTATTTAGATTTTTTACACTTTTTGGCAAATAATTAAAAAAACATTCTTTCCTTTCAGTTTTATAAGTCTGTCTATTCAACTTTTCTGTTCCTGTACTTTATAATATCGACATCCATTTTAAAATCAATAATTTAAGTATTTACATCCTGATATATAAAAACAACACGCACACTTATAATAAAAAGAATAAAACAGATAGAAGAGTTGATGTAAGTTGATTCAAATGGAATAAAATTAGTTTCTAATCATATTATTAATGGCGATTTCAATCCTTTGACTCAAATTATCATATCGCATTATATATGAACATTTATATATCCACCATTTATATATTCAATCTAATGGTGATGTTTAAGAATAGAAAAGAGCATTACTACACAAAATCATTACTATGCTAAATTAAAGCATTCATTGCAATGTGTCCAAAAAAAACTTGCATTTTAAATTTCTTTAAAGAACAGGAAACTTAATGGTCCAAGAGCTAGCAACGTTTTCGAGAAAGCATTTTAGTCAGGCTGATTTTTTGGAATGTGGTCCTTGGGGCTCTGTCGGTTAGGGTATGGGCCGTCTGGCAGCTGGGAGTAGCATTGCCAAATAAGTGCCAGACGCCAATTGATTTATTAATTTTTTTTAAATTTCAAATCATTTTAGCCTATCTGAAATTTTAATATTATGTTCGTTAAGGGTAAAAACACAAAATAAATTTGCCAGACGTTTCTGCGGTTGTTAAACATGTCTGGCAATCAAAGATGTCTGGCAATATGATACTAGTTAATAGCATTTTAGTCAGTCCAATTTTCATTAATTCGATTTCGAATAGATTCACTAAATTCACATTTTTTGTTGCTAGACATTTTGGGCGCTGCCAAATATGTGCCAGACGCCAATTTATTTATATATTTTTTTTTAAATTTCAAATCAGTTTAGTCTGTCTGAAATTTTAATATTATGTTCATTAAGGGTCAAAAAAGATAAAATTAATTTGCCAGACGTTTCTGTAGCTGTTAAGCACGTCTGGCAATGAAAAAAGTCTGGCAATATACTAGTAGACAGTGAGACAATCGCCAAATACGTGTACTATTCAAAGTTAGTGCAATTTCAATAATATTTTCATAAAACAAATAAAATAAAGTTAAAAAAAGACCTAATTAGAAAAGAGAGAATAAAAATTGCATCATATTAGTCAATTTTTTAATTTTACTAGATCTAAAAAATATGTTAATGATTCTAAAATATTGCTGTTAATGTTTTTAAAAATTTGACTCGACGGGGGTTAAGTAACATTGTCAATTTCCTAAGAATATCATATCTTTTACGTTTTGCAATGAGAACTGACAATGATCATTATTTTTATTGTACGCAATTTTTTTTATCGCTAAGTTAACTGAATCGAATGACTTCACTTTACATGGTATTTCGCTTCAGCCGCAACTAATTGTAATTCATACCTACACAATATTAATAATGCCAGTTTTGCTACCTTATCAGTTCAAGTTACCCCTAGAATGGAGTCTAAAAATTCTAGTATATACATACAATATATATTGTACAGCAAACATTCTCCGCTCTTTTTTCTTTCAGCTTTTAGCTGTAAAATGAGCAATGTTTTTTTAAAAATCGGAGTGTATTTAATAATTCAACAATTCAAAGGAAATCGCAATCATTTTAGATCAATATGTATCACTATATAATGATTGTTATTCGACCTAAGTCTTTTAAATCAAGATTATAACTGGGATTATCGTTTTTTTTTTTAACAACGGATCAAAACGTCTATTATACATATTTATTTGTCTTATGGCTTAATGATACAACAATATGCTAATGTAGCTACAGTTTATCTTCCTTCTCATATGTTGGTACTAGAAACTGGCACATTTATTCAATATGATAAAAATGTTTAAACACTTTGGATGGTTATAACATGCCTCTCATTCATTTATACATAATTATTTCGTTTAATTTCTTCAAAACAATCAAGTATGCAACCTTCCCACACCAGGACAATAAATCTGACAAGTATTGCTCCGGGAAAAATCTAATTAAAGACTGACACTACAATGTGATATTTCAAAAGACTCATTGAACTCATCTATCCAACACAAATCAATGGATTCTTATTTTCCACTCATAATGCACCTTCGATGATTTGAATTTTTCAATTGTCAGGAACGGCAATTCTAATGAAAAATGGTATATAGACGCAATTTTGCAGAGAAGTTTATAATAAACACATCTGTCTAACATAGTTACTTGATTTTGCTTATGGTTTCCTGGCTAGTACACGTAATGTGCTCACGAGTATAATAGTTTTTTGTTTCATTCGCGCCAATGTATTTGGCGATTGTCTCACTCTATATACTAATATCATATTGCCAGACTTTTTTCATTGCCAGACATGCTCAACAGCCACAGAAACGTCTGGCAAATTAATTTTATATTTTTTGACCCTTAATGAACATAATATTAAATTTACAGAGGGACTAAAATGATTTGAATTTAAAAAAAAAAATTAATGAATAAATTGGCGTCTGGCACATATTTGGCAGCGCCCAAAATGTCTGGCAACAAAAATGTGAGTCTAGTGAACCTATTCGAAATCGAATTAATGAAAATTGGATTGACTAAAATGCTATTAACTAGTATCATATTGCCAGACATTTTTGATTGCCAGACATGTTTAACAACCGCAGAAACGTCTGGCAAATTTATTTTATGTGTCTTTACCCTTAACAAACATAATTTTAAAAAAAATTCAGACAGACTAAAATAATTTGAAATTTAAAAAAAAAAAAAAAAAAATTGGCGTCTGGCACATATTTAGCAGCGCCCAAAATGTCTGGCAACAAAAAATGTGAGTCTAATGAACCTATTCCAAATCAAATTAATGAAAAATGAACTGACGAAAATGGTTTCAAAATTTCAAAATCGCACTGTACAAATTGGCTGCGCACTAATAAACGCAACCACTCCCAGCTGCCAGACAACCCATACCCTAACCGAGAGAGCCCTAAGGACCACATACCAAAAAATCAGCCTGACTAAAATGCTTGTTTTGAAAACGTTGCTGCCTCCTATATTATAAGCTATTAGCCTTTCAGCGCAATTGAAAAGAGCAATTTATAGGACAGATTCAGGAAAATGCTAAAGAAGTGTAATAATTTATAATTTCTCTGTAAAAATTGTAATAATTAATAAACATAACAACTGACCACGACGGGGTTGTGTAGAATTCGTCAATAGAGAGTGATGCAAGCCCAAACTTTCCTGAGAACCTGCTTGAACAACACTTTGGTGCAGGGCGCTATCGGAGCTAGCTCTTCGCCAGGCACCATCTCCCGGCGGAGGGCTTAAATATGATCCACCATATGGTGACGTATCAACCTTTCGCTCTGCAGGTCGTGCTCGCATGGGTCCTATATTACCTGTTATAAAACAAACTATATTTTATTACTGATTAAAACAAACGCTACACAAATGTAAATATTTTTAACATAGATCAAATATTAAAATAATCATATGTATAAAAAACTCAAATATACACACATATTGGAAAGGAAATTGAAGACAAAGAAGACTGAAGAGTTATATATAAAGATATTTTTAGTTATATATAGATATTATATTAATGAAATACATATTATAGTCAAATGAAATGTATATATTATATGAAAACTGTTTTCATAATCTCTCATACCAGGCAACTCTGCCTGACTGAGATATGAAAATAATGTATATATATAAATAATAAAAAAAAATAAAAAATATATATTAGTTTACTACAAGTTATTTTGCATTGAAAACGTAACATTCAAAGTTATACTAAGAGCTGGCAATGGAATTTTTGATTAGATCCGAAAATCAAAAACTATAATGACTAAATCTAATATACAGGAAAAGATTCTAATTACAGATTTTATCAGATGAAGCTAATGAGCAGAATGTATGCGGTGTTACCTCTAGATCGAGATTCTCTTTGCTGATGATATTGTTGTGCTTGGTGCAGTGGATGCTTTGTAGAAGTCGGAGAGCAAGGTGAAGTAAGACATTCATGAGTTTGTATCGATGCCAGACCAAACTGCGCCAGCGTTATATCGTCAGGCTGCGAGTATGCTGATTCCTCGGGCTGCAGAAAACAAATTATGCAATACTCAAATTATGGTTCTTTACCCGAAAGTTACTTTAAATAGATACATCTTACAAGTTTGTTCATTATATTTTACAAGAAATACTATTGAAATATTAATTAATATATTATCTTATACAAATCATTAGGTATTTCACAAATTTTAAAATAATATGTTCTTATTTCTAAATGAAAAAGAAAACGTGCATGCACATGCAGTAATAATTTTAAAGACTGCCTATAACAAACAGATGAATCCAACAATGCGTTATACGATGAGGCATAAAAATCTGTAGAACATGCTTATTACAAGTAATAATAGCATTGACTTATATTTTCTTCATCCAAGAGTTATCCATATTTTATGTTACTACTGAATACATATAGTGTCAATTACAATAATAATGAATTTAATTTTACAGATAAAAATAAACTAGAAACTTGGTGGATTTTTGCTCATTGGCTAATTATAAATTCCCAAATTAATGTTTAATACATTTAATTGTAAGTAGAATTGAAACTTTTACACGTCATTAGGAGTGTATTGCAAAATGAAGTTATTCATTTATCACTTTCAATAAGTTTTGTCATGTCATGCATAATTTTATTTGAATATCAGGCATAAGCAACTTGTAATTTTATAAGCATGGATATTTAATGACCAATCGAATATTTTTCATTTAAGTTGTTAATTCAGAAGTCTCGTATTTAGCCACGGAATTGAATAATAAACAACTTCAAATGCAGCTTAAGTAACATTGCGGCCACATAAAAAAAATTACTGACCGTTATAAAATAAAAAATCTCAACAAATGAATTATTTTATTTATCACGACAAACTAATATCTAATATAATTATCAAAGGCTCCTATATTATAAAAACAAAAATGATGATAAACATTAACTTGATTCAAATGTGTTATAAGATAATTTGAAGTATTACATTTATTGCTTAAACATTAAATTTTCACCCACAAATATATTGATTTCCTCCTAATTACACCAAAATAGTTATAACAAAATATGTAAGAACACATTACATTGAAATTGTCAAAACTAAAGACACAAATAATTTCATATTTACGAAGTCGAGCAAGACGGACAGTGATCAAACTTTGAAAAAAAAAAACTTGAAAAAAAAAAACTTCTGCAGAAGCCCAGTACAGTGTTCTCGAGTGTAATTCTCAAATTTTCAAGTAATCTTACGGAATTCATAATTAGTCAATCAATGAACAAATAGAATAGTACTTTAGATTTTAAATTTTTATTTAAAAATTTTAATACTAAATTTCAGTTATTTTATCCTAATTATATTTCATGATTAGTCACTAAAATATAATTTTATGTCAGTATAAACACAATGCATGGTATAACAAAATAAACACATTTTTAATTGCTAAACATATAACAAAAAATAAGCAATCACATTAGTACATTTCTAAATTATTTCACATTGCTAAAAATCACTATTTTATATGTAAATGGTAGTCTTATTGTATGGCATAGTTATATTTATCAACTTTCAGTACATACTCAAAAATATCACATATCCATATGTACAAAACATATATATATATAATAACATCTCACTTGGAAACAAATTTGGAATATTAAAAAGAACTACTCTAACTCCCGTATTTGCTGAACCAGTTATTTACTGCATACTTTTTCAATATAAAACAATTATTTTAATATACAAAGTTGAATTGCAATGACTAACAAAAAATCTTTGATTGAAGTCGTGACTATATTATCAAAATTTTATACCAATAATTTAATGCATTTATGATTGAAATTACATTTTCACGAAAAAATTTATTTTTTATACATAGTTACCACAAATATTAGTATTCATCCATTGAAATTAAATGGCCGAAAGCACACATATCTTTAAATCAGTATCGTTGAATCATTTCCATCTTTGAATACATTTTTCACAGACACAGAAATTTGAATTGAATTGAACACTGCTGATGTACAATGGCAATACAACGGTGTAAATAGTTTTTTTTTTTTCTAAAAAATATTCAACACTATATTAACAAGATTTAATACAATGCATGTACATAAATATAGTGCAACAACATTGCCTATTCCTGCCTAATACAGAATAAACCATTATCTCACATGGTGCACTAACACAAATAGTCAGAATACCAAATCTAATACACATAGTTCTTCTTCTACAATATATCATATCAAAAGTATGCCATATTTAATAAACAATCAGTATTTGTATGCATAATAAACAATTATGCAAAAAATGATGAAAGATGCATAAAAGAAAATTATGTTTCGAATTCAATGCAATTCTGAATTTTGAACCTTTAAGTCTATGATTATTGTTCCAACAGTCTGTGCGCCTGATACATTAGGAAGAGACCCACCCCGAAAACAGCCTAATGTTTGAGTTATCCTCAGTGTATCCCCACATATAGATTGTTTTCGATTAGCAGTAGATTTACTTGTTATTGGTGCAGCTGTGTTCACCTGAAATGCCTAATTAGCCAAAACCTTGCCAAAGCAGACATTCACACTACGTTAGAATTTATGTATTTTAAATCATGATAAGTATTCAACGTTTTATTAGGCCTCAGAAAAACTGTAAAAAGTCTAGTTTGCAATAATTACAATAAACAGTAAATAAAATTATTTGCATTAAGTTATTATGTATTTCTTCTAAGTGCACAAGTAAGTCCACAATAAAATGCAGTGTTCCTCTGTTATTTACAAATTGACAATTTTATAGTGTCAAATTATGATGTGTTTACATTGCGCAAGATAACTTGACTTTAAAGTTAGGGACAAGACCACAAATAAATACCTTAGCAGTTACATCCGACACTTCTCTCATGATTTGCTCAAATGCTGCAGTTTCTTCAGCCTGCTTTTGATTGTGCAAAGCAATTTTTTCACTAAACTTTCTAGGATTCGCCATGATGGCAAAGTAATAACAACACTATTAAAACAAACTATTGTTCACAGTGTTTTTTTTTTCTTGCTAAGACTATATTTCATGAAGATCGAGCGCGAACTAGCCATAGAACGAAACAACAAAATACAGAGAGCTGAGTAACTTAGAACCAACCAACAAAATGGTTTGCCGACGTAAGTAGAACGGCATACTTGACTTGACTATTGCTATATAATTGTCCAGACAGCAGCAATCGCCTCGCCGGAATGGCCAATGACGTTTCTCACGGCATAAGTATATATTTATAAAGTTAGTCGTAATGTTTAGCGAAACTGCATTTTAAAAACTCCCTGTGATTTATCCCAAATTTGTCAATAAGCTTATTGACTACAGGAGAGTCGCAGAAACTTCTGCGACGAACTTCGCATAATGGCTCACGGCTCACAATAGTTTAGGTTATTAGCACACGATATCGTTTTCCTCATCCGACACTTGCTTGCGAACGAAAACAAATTCATACGAAAACATTGACATAATAAACATGAATTGATAAAATTCACATTGAAGCATTTTCGCATTTCACAAAAAACTTTCACAAAATGCAATTCAATGATTTATTTATAAGAAAAATTACGAATATGTATTACTTATATCTATCAGAGTTAGATGCCTATTTAGTAGTTATCGTTTGTATCTCTGACATTCCTTAGTTGTCAAATGCCATCATATTCGCAATTTAATGTTAATAACTGAATATAAATTTGAATATATTTATTATAAGCGTTAATGATTAAATATATCGAAATGTGAGATTGAAAGTAAATTACAAAGTAAAAACTGCTCAACTGAAATCTAGAAATTGGCAGATTGATAGTTTTGATTTGATTTCATTTAATTTTATAAATTTTGCTGTTAACTTTTTTCATTATCGCAGTTTATCGTTTGTGAAATATTTCTGATAATTACGAGGCGCATTTTTGTAGTAAATTCATGCGAACATTAAAAAGAAAAAACAGAAGAGTGATAAATTGAATGATATTCAGAAAAGTTCATAAGAAGTGGGAAAGAAAATGGTTTTGGTTTGATAGATGCAGTTAAATAAGTATTTATGATTAACATTGTCTGGTGAAAAATATTATCCCGATAATCTTTATATGGAAAACAATATAGTTTCTATATAATTTATCATATTTCTTTGTAGGTTTGCACACCAGTAGCTTATTTCATTTTAAGGTGAAATTTAGACAGAATCTAATAAAACAAATTCTTGTACTCTCAAGTGTTTTAAATAAGTTAAATTAAAAATATATTTTTTTATATATATTATAATTATTAACTTGGAGATGTTTTTATTGCCAAAGGTAAACTCACGAATAAGCAAAAAAGAGTGCGCGTTCATACGCGATTGAAGTAAAACTTTTTTGTTATCACAGGATGGCATTTCAATTGTAAATAAATACATAATATAATAATTTTGAATAATGTTTATTAGTAATACGGTAACTCTTGTGATGCACCTATTTATTAACTTCCCGTAGGGTAAGTTATTGTAATGGGCCGAAAATCGAAATTGAAAATTTTCACATTTCTCGACGTTTTGAAGGTTTCTGAACTTTCTGGCATACCTCAGAAAAAATGGATGTGTGTGTGTGTGAGTGAGTGTGTATGTATGTATGGATACAAATTTTCACTCACGTTTTCGGGCGCACGGATCAACCGATTTGAATAGTTCAAAAAACATTTGGTTCATATTAATAGGGAAAAGAGCTGATTAGTTTTTGGAAAAGGCAAGTCCAGCCGTTACGGAGATATGGAGCAAAGAGTGCAGAAAATAGAAATCGAGTTTTTGAGAGAACGGAGTATCCGATGTGAATGATCTAAAAAAACATTCGATTAGTAATGATTGGGAGAAGTGTTTATTAGTTTTTGGCAAAGGCAGGCCCAGCCATTTCGAAGATACGGAGCTAAATGTGCAAAAAATGGCAGTTTTTGAGAGAACTAATAGTCCGGTTTGAATGATTCAAAGAACTTTCTGCTTGTTTTAACAAAATAATTGATTTTGGAAAAAAAAATTTTCAACTTTTTTTTTCAATTTTTTTTTAAATTTTTTTTTAAATTTTTTTTTGTATATCGAAAATAATTCAGATTTTATTTTCAATTCTGACTATAGTTCTAATATACTTTAAACAAATAATTTCAACTTTGCAATTTAGTTTACATAATTCTTATAGATATTATACAATATTGCGGTATTAATAATAATCTATTTAAAATATTCAGTATTCCTTGAACATTTCGTTACGGTACGGGAAGTTCCAGCAATTTGCTTTAAGGCACGATGCCATACACCCCACTAGTTAGTGTGAACCATTATACACATAATTATAAATTATAAATTATATATTTATAATAGCATTAAAAATATTTATAATATTTGAAAACAATAATGTAATTAAAGTCATACTTCAAATATGACATGATCGGTTTGTCATTGTAATTAGCATTTAGAACTTGAACCTTAGAGAAATGAAGTAATTGCTGATTAATAAATTCTATAATGTTCGTTCACACAGTGGATTATGTAAAACAACGCCTGAAGAAATATTGTTTTCACTCATCATGTAATAATTGTGTTTGAAAAACTTCATGTAATTAAAATTAACATACATTCATTGACTGGTTGTATCTTTTTTTTTTACTTTTTCGCTGGCGATATAATCTCATTCTTGGAGCAGCTATAAAATCTGTCTTGCCTAAAATATTTTCCATTTCAATAATTTCAAAGATTTATAGAAGCTGTGAATAATATAGAAATTATTTCAATAAACTTACGTTTAGTACACGGCACAAATGTTTTATTTATTTTATTATTTTCATTATAATTATCGGGAAACAGGGTAAAATATTCTTTTGATTCAGTTTTTTTTTTTAAATCAAGATTTGTACTATGATGCAAACATAAAATGTTTATTTATCTATGCCAATTTGCTTGTTAATATCGGTACGCATACAACGGCAGATCTCTATTCACACGACACGACGGCTATTTCATCGAGAGCGAATGACGTACAGTTCGGGCGTAAAGCAATTTCCGTTGCTTTACGCCCTAGTCGCGCCTAAAGAAGTTTTAGTTCAAAAAACATTTTATTATGATGGTTTCTGTTACTTTCAGTTTTTTATCATGACAAATTAAGATGTATACTTCAAGCAATATGGTAGTATTTACGCATTCTTTATTTGTTCGAAGTGGGTTGCTTTCACTACCATGGCTGTTCATATAGCACAGAGCTGTATATTTAGTTGTGAATGTAATAATACACTGGGGCCTCGCTTTACGGCCTAGATACGTTCCGCAAAACTTGGCCGTAAAGCGAAAAGCCGTATAACGAATCAATTATTCTAATACGTATTCATACAAATTCAATGGGATTCGGTTCCAAATTTAATAAATATATAATATGGTTTATCATTCAAAATGCATTTTATTTTTTTATTTTGTTTAAATTATAAACATATCTAACAAGAACATAAATTTTACATAAAATAAAAAACTTCAAAAACATTACATAATTTTCAAATAAAAATGAAACAACTAAAACCTACAGATCACTGTCACCATCATTTTGCGCTGGTGGGTTGAAAAATTTGTCTTGTTTGTTTTGCCTTCTTGTCTATTTTTTCCTTTAGTGATTTATAACAGTTAATGGCTGAGTTAATTCCTCGATACACATAAGCGCTACGTTCGATGTCAGGATCGTTTTCAAGGAAGATGTTTATACCTTGTTCAAAATATGAAAAAGCGCTCGACATGATTTTTGATGTTAGCTGTTTGGATACAACAGGTTCTGTATCTTCATCAATTGCCGGCTCTGCTTGCAACTGAATGAGTTCCTCATATGAAAGGGGTTCCCTATCAGTTGCAAGTAGATCCAGCACATCAGATTCGTTTAAATCTTCAAAACCGAGATTGCGCAATATATCGACATAGAGAAAAAAAGCCGTTATAGCGAAACATTTTAGGCCGTATATCGAAAACGTACCTTAATTAAAGAGGGCCGTTATAGCGAAAGGCCGTATAAGGAGCGGCCGTATAGCGAGGCCTGGGTGTATAGACTGGCCGTCATATAAGGAAACATTTACTTGTACATATAATGTAGCCTAACTGTCATTTACTTGTACTAAATATAGATGTATATTGTAAAAAATAAATAAATTGATGCTATATAATTATATTATATCATTTAAAATAATTAGCAGCCCATTCGTTGAATTAAATAAATGACTAAAATAAGCATTGTTAACCATACATTTCGGCATTTGATGTGTATCATCTTTCAGCGAATCTGAAATACATTATTACAATGATACAAATATTCAAATATTAGTGAGTGATGATATATAATGAAAAAAATATACATACGTTATACAGGCTTCACTGCAATGATTGTAATATGTGCTGTATTGAGGAAAGTTTCCACCATATATTAAAGAGAGTAAATCAACATAACTAAAGGAATCCAAATCAGTTCAAAACGATGCTTTCAGAACATATGTTCAATTTTAACCACACCTTCAACACTTCACAACCTGTTATTTTATATAAAGAAAAACATGTTATGGGCCCAAAGCACGGTAAAGTGATTTTGCAACATAATATCGAGCCATCTCATAAAGCAAAACTGGTCAAGGAAAGCACTTCGATGGCACCTGCTGTACTCTCCAGATCTTGCATAGTTTAACTATCTTGTTGCATAGCTTATTTTTTCGAACAAACGGCAATGACTTTCCGGTGCACCTGGCATGAATCGTTCAGCATTGGCAGCAACGAGCTCATTTAATAATAAAATAAGCCGATTTTGAATATAGAATTAAATTAGTATTTCATTAGGATTTTTATTAAAGTAAATGAACGACGCAAACAAAAATAGTCCAAAAGTTAAATAAATGTTAGTGGTAGACAATTCTTTTCACTTAGGCACTTAGAGGTACGAAAAAAAAAATATTTCGGAAAAGTATACTTTTTCTTACCTATAGGTAAATAGCATTGACACCAGAATTCTTATATATAAGTATATTTTTATATTATTTATTATATATCTTATATATAAGTTATTATATATAAGAAGGACAGAAGTGGGCCACGTTTTTATTTTTGGTTATAAAATGGTTAAAAATGAAAATATTTTCTTAATTTTTTTTGTAGTTGTAAGGGACTCCAAAATGCAACTTTTTATTAAAGCAGATGCTTGCAATTATGTTTGAAAGTATCCCTTTTTTTGAATGACAAAAAAGTGTATTTAACGTGTTTTTCGAAAATGTAGGGAGAAGTTGGCCATACAAATTTTTATCTGAAAAAATGCTGCTATATGCTTCAAATTCTTACTCTGAGAGTTTTCAAATATGCTGATTACAAATCTGTTGTCAAATTTACAAAATTCAAAATCGTTGACTCGAAATGAAGGGTAGAAATTGAAAAAACAGTGACTTCAGTAAAAATTTTAATTTACATTCTGAAAAGAAGTAATAAATGATAAAATGGTTGGAAGAAAACCATTTTGCAACAATCACAGATTCTAGGCGTAATTGGTGCACGTCAAGTCGGTGCAGTTGGTCATATGGAAGGGTCTATCACGCGCTTCAAGTCTATCGTAGTTATCGCACTCGAAGAAGTTTTTTTTTTGACAGCTATGCCAACATCAATCTATTGCAAATCATGCCAAAATCGTTGTCTTCACTTGAAGAAATCGTAGAATTTCATTTTTTGCCTTTTTTTCAGCTGGTTATGAAGTTATGGTCTTCTTAGAAACTTTCGCTGGTACTTGCAATTTTTGACCATGTGCTGCTTCTACCGCGACCTTTCTGTTTCTAGGGGATGTATAGAGTCGTTGAAAAGACAATCTGCTAACGTTGGTAACAGCTGAAGCAACACTCTCCGATATTTTATTTATTTTCACTTCATTCAAAGCAATAATCAACTGTTCATATCACCACTTTTTTTGGAGTTTTCTGTTTTCTTAGGAGGCATTATGACTGAAGATATAAAAATAAGTAAATAAGACGTTCGATTAATTAATAAAAATATTTTACTGTGCAAAGAACGGCATTGCGCAAGTGGCCCATGTCTGTCTAAAAATAGTGGCCCACTTCTATCTACAAACGCCTTTTTTTTTCATATGCATCCCACAAAAACACAATGTAAACAATCGGCAAAAATTACTTTGCATTTCAAAGATTATAAGTCTACATAATATATTGCATATTATATTACGTAAGAGCGTAACCTCCAAGTGCTTTTTGAAATTGAGCAAGTATCAGAATGTGATAAATATGTGCGCGGTTCGACATACATGTCACTAGTCTTAGAGTTATTCTGCTGGCCCACTCCAACCTGTGGCCCACGTCTGTCCACTTCACCCTATATATATATATATATATATATATATATATATATATATATATACATATATATAATAATAATAAAAACAAATCTGGTGTTAACGGCTAATATAAGGTATAAGTAAACATCCGTGTTAAAAAACCGTCCAGGTGAATATAATTATAAATATCAAATTCGCACAATATAAAATGAAGTATTTACAGAAGCTGCTATCGCAGGATAGCTATCCTTCACACGCTGTCATATCAAATTATCTGTAAAAGTAGCTGCATGTATATATTGTATAGTTTGCTACGTAAAATAAAACAAAAAAATAAATAAATAAAATCAAGTACAAAATCGTCAACAATATAAACTCTAATTATAATATAATGACGGAAGAGAGACAATATAAACCAGGCAACAAGAAAAAGGAAGCAGAAGTGAATTTTAAAAACCGTAAGAAATAAAATATATCTAAAATAAGAAGATGCGTTTGCTAAAATGATGTATCATACGCAGTTTAAATCGTAATCAACATATTGCAAATGTTTTACCTTAAAAAATAAAACAAATTGTAACATAAATAATAATTTATTTCTAGTATGTATTAGAAAGATGTATTCAATTCTCATAGAATTAAGATGAATTAGCATATAAGACTGTAACAAAAATAAATAAACTTCTATAAAATCAAAATATATGGTTAATAAGACAATTATGCAATTGCCTTATCATTAATGCCCGAATATTTTTGACATCAATATCATATATATATATATATATATATATATATATATATATATAAGTATATACAGTAATGGAAGACATTGATAAGTAAATAAATTCTGAATGATATTTTAAAGGCTTCCTATTTTTCCGTGACAACTTTAGGCACATAAAATTTATGCGCCTTCACTTGACGTGTATATTTAAATGGTGCTTTATTAGTTTCCAATAAAGCAGCTGGGCAAGGGCCCCTATGCTTATTGTAAGTTGTAGATGATATAAAAGAACCTTCTCCAAACGAAATATGAGAAATATTAGAAGACCGCCTTGTATGTTCAACTTTGGTACTTCTTAGACTTTGTTCACAATTAGAAAAATTACCATACCTTGAATCTTTTTGACCATAAAATTCACCGCCAGTTAACAGATTATCGCGTCGAACGGTTTTCTGCGGGCGTTCAATAACGTAGGTAGCGTTAGATGATGATACTTGGTGTTTATTTCGTGCATTAGATTGAGTTTCAATCTGCTGATGAGTGGTTTCCTTAGACGACCGATGAATAGAACTTAAACTTTTTCTCTCACTGTGGGAAGAGTACTGTGTACTTTGTCCATGCAAATTGCTAATGCTTCGCCTCTGAGAAGCGGCTGCACGATTAATTGCATGCAAAGCTTCGGTTGAAGTTGATAAGCCTTTTCGACATAGCACAGAATTGCTTACACCAACAGAACTACTAATTGTACTATGTCTGTGGTAGCCGGATTTGCTACTTGCATTAGTATTTGTTTTGTTGGCAAAATCGTGTTGAATAATTTGCTCATTGCTCACCGGCATTCGCTTTACGACATGTCTTTCAATTGCATTTTCTGAAAAGTGGTTTTGATCTGATTTTGCTGTATTTCTATCAGAAACGAAATTAGTTTCGATACGTGCTATCACACTTTTAGCGTCATGTTCGTGACCTACACTACTATTTACTTGTTCATCGGAATGCATCTTTGTAGCCACTCTTGATTCGCTTGAAAGCTTTGTAGTATTTTTATTGCTTACCAAATTTTGTTCACTTAAATCAATGCTTGATTTCATATGTAACCTTTTGTCTATTGTTTTGTTTTCGTTAGAAGGAACTATTTTCTTTGTAGATATTTTTTGATAAGCTACGCTATTTGTTGTAACGCAATCCATGGTATCCGTGCCAATTTTTAACGTGCTTTCATGTTTCTTAATAGCAAAACGTTCACCACGAACCATTGTATTTTTTAAATTTTGTGAATTATTGACATACATCTCACCCACCAATTGTAAATTATCCAGAGGCTTCTTAATCTTAACCTTTTCAGCAGGCTGCCATTCTGATGAAGCATGACGCACAAATTCACCAGATATTTTTAAGTTGTCTGTATGTTTGATAATATTACGCCTTTCAGCTAACGATTTGGTTATTTTATTTGTATTAATATTATCTACCCTAATATATTTGTCATTATCTGTCAACTTCAAATCATCGACTTTCTGCATAACACTGCATTCTGAATATGACGACTTACTTCTATTATCCTTCATATCAATGTTGTCTACTATTTTTGAATTATCAGCACTTTTCACAATATTTGTCGTTCTACCCTTAATTGTTTCAAGTTTATTATTACTCATTATACCACCATTAAATACTTCACGTTCATTTCTTACTTCACTCATATTAACTGTTTGTTTGCCCAGATCTAATGCCTTCTGCTCTGTCATTTGAATTTTATGTATACTTTTTGCATTAAATTCTCCATCTAACCGAATATTATCTTTTGGTATCTTGGCCTTAGGTCTTTCAGCTGGCATATAGTTCGGTTGCTCGGGCCTTTCAAAATCGCCCTCAGGTCGAAGGTTATCATGATGTCTGATTGGAGTTCTCTTCTCTGCAGGCAGACTTTCATATGATTTTGGTCTCACAAATTCCCCCTCCGGATGAAGATTATCCCTTGGTTTCTCAGCCCTAGGTCTTTCGGTTGCGTCATATTTTGGTTGTTCGGGTCGTTCAAAATCACCTTCAGGTCGAAGGTTATCACAATGTTTGATCAGAGTTCTTCTCTCTGCCTGTTCAAACCTAACTGAGTGCGATCGTTCAAACTCGCCTTCAAGTTGTAAGTTATCTGTTGGTTTCTCTATTTTACGTCTTTCAGCAGGTCTATATTGTTCTTGTTCAGGCCTTTCAAAACTACCCTCTGGTCGAAGATTGTCGAAATGTTTAATCGGCGTCCTAACTTCAGCAGGCACAATTTTATGTTGCTCAAGCCTTTCAAAATCGCCCTCCGTCTGCAAGTTGTCCTTTGGTTTCTTCGCTTCGGGCCTCTCAGCTGGCTTAAAATTCTTCTGTTCAGGTCTTTCAAAATCACCTTCGGGCTGTAAGTTATCTTTTGGTTTTTTCGCTTTTGGCCTTTCAACCGGTTCATACCTCTGTTGGTCAGGTCTTTCAAAATCGCCCTCCGGCTGTAAGTTGTCTTTTGGTAATTTCGCTTTGGGTCTTTCAGTTCGTTTATATTTGGGTTGCTCGGGCCTTTCAAAATCGCCTTCAGGTCGAAGGTTATCATATTGTTTGATCAGAGTTCTTCGCTCTGCTTGTTCATACCTAAACGACTCAGATCTTTCAAATTCGCCTTCTAATTGCAAGTTATCTGATGGTTTCTCTGCCTTGCGTCTTTCTGCAGGGATATATTGTTCTGGTTCAGGTCTTTCAAAACTACCCTCTGGTCGAAGATTGTCGAAATGTTTGATCGGCGTTCTAACTTCAGCCGGCACAACTTTAAGTTGCTCAGGCCTTTCAAAATCGCCCTCCGGCTGCAAGTTGTCTTTTGGTTTCTTCGCTTTGGGCCTCTCAGCTGGCTTAAATTTCTCCTGCTCAGGCCTTTCAAAATCGCCTTCCGGCTGCAAGTTATCTTTTGGTTTCTTTGCTTTGGGCCTCTCAGTTTGCTTAAATTTCTCCTGTTCAGGTCTTTCAAAATCACCTTCGGGCTGTAAGTTATCTTTTGGTTTTTTCGCTTTGGGCCTTTCAGCCGGCTCGTACCGCTGTTGTTCTGGTCTTTCAAAATCACCCTCTGGCTGTAAATTGTCTTTTGGTATCTTTGCTTTGGGTCTTTCAGTTGGTTTATATTTGGGTTGCTCGGGCCTTTCAAAGTCGCCTTCAGGTCGAAGATTATCATATTGTTTGATTAGAGTTCTTCGCTCTGCTTGTTCATACCTAAACGACTCTGATCTTTCAAACTCACCTTCTAGTTGCAGGTTGTCTTTTGGCTTCTTTGCTTGGGGCCTCTCAGTTGGCTTAAATTTCTCTTGTTCAGGCCTTTCAAAATCACCTTCGGGCTGTAAGTTATCCTTTGGTTTTTTCGCTTTGGGCCTTTCAACCGGTTCATACCTCTGTTGTTCTGGTCTTTCAAAATCGCCTTCAGGTCGAAGATTATCGAAATGTTTGATCGGCTTCCTAACTTCAGTCGGCACAACTTTAAGTTGTTCGGGTCTTTCAAAATCGCCCTCCGGCCGTAAGTTGTCTTTTGGTATTTTTGCTTTGGGTCTTTCAGTTGGTTTATATTTGGGTTGCTCGGGCCTTTCAAAGTCGCCTTCAGGTCGAAGGTTATCATATTGTTTGATCAGAGTTCTTCGCTCTGCTTGTTCATACCTAAACGATTCAGATCTTTCGAATTCTCCTTCTAATTGCAAGTTATCTGATGGTTTCTCTGCTTTGCGTCTTTCTGCAGGGGTATATTGTTCTGGTTCAGGTCTTTCAAAACTACCCTCTGGTCGAAGATTGTCGAAATGTTTGATAGGCGTTCTAACTTCAGCCGGCACAACTTTAAGTTGCTCAGGCCTTTCAAAACTGCCCTCCGGCTGCAAGTTGTCTTTTGGTTTCTTCGCTGTGGGCCTCTCAGCTGGCCTGAATTTCTCTTGCTCAGGCCTTTCAAAATAGCCCTCCGGCTGCAAGTTGTCTTTTGGTTTCTTTGCTTTGGGCCTCTCAGCTGGCTTAAATTTCTCCTGCTCAGGCCTTTCGAAATTGCCCTCCGGCTGCAAATTGTCTTTTGGTTTCTTAGCTTTGGGCCTATCAGCTGGCTTAAATTTCTCCTGCTCAGGCCTTTCAAAATCGCCCTCCGGATGCAGGTTGTCTTTTGGTTTCTTTGCTTGGGGCCTCTCAGTTGGCTTAAATTTCTCCTGTTCGGGTCTTTCAAAATCACCTTCGGGCTGTAAGTTATCCTTTGGTTTTTTCGCTTTGGGTCTTTCAGCCGGCTCATACCGCTGTTGCTCTGGCCTCTCGAAATCGCCTTCAGGTCGAAGATTGTCGAAATGTTCTTCAGCCGGCACTGTTTTGCTGTTCAGGTCTTCAAAATCGCCCTCCGGCTGGTTATCTTTTGGTTTCCTCGCTGTTTTGCTTTCTGTTCAGGTCTTTCAAAATCGCCCTCCGGCTGCAAGTTATCTTTTGGTTTCCTCGCTGTGGGCCTCTCAGCTGGCCTGAATTTCTCTTGCTCAGGTCTTTCAAAATCGCCCTCCGGCTGTAGGTTGTCTTTTGGTTTCTTTGCTTGGGGCCTCTTAGTTGGCTTGAATTTCTCCTGTTCAGGTCTTTCAAAATCACCCTCGGGCTGTAAGTTATCTTTTGGTTTTTTCGCTTTGGGCCTTTCAGCCGGCTCGTACCGCTGTTGTTCTGGTCTTTCAAAGTTACCTTCAGGTCGAAGATTGTCAAAATGTTTAATCGGTGTCCTAACTTCAGCCGGGACAACTTTAAGTTGCTCAGGTCTTTCAAAATCGCCCTCCGGCAGCAAGTTGTCTTTTGGTTTCTTCGCTATGGGCCTCTCAGCTGGCTTGAATTTCTCTTGCTCAGGCCTTTCAAAATTGCCCTCCGGCTGCAAGTTGTCTTTTGGTTTCTTTGCTTTGGGCCTTTCAGCCGGCTCATACCGCTGTTGTTCTGGCCTCTCGAACTCGCCCTCAGGTCGAAGATTGTCGAAATGTTTGATCGGCGTCCTAACTTCAGCCGGCACAACTTTTTGCTGTTCAGGCATTTCAAAATCTCCATCCGGCTGTAAGTTGTCTTTTGGTCTCTTCGCTTTGGGTCTTTCAGTTGGCTTATATTTGAGTTGCTCCGGTCTCTCAAAGTCGCCTTCAGGTCGAAGGTTATCATAATGTTTGATCAGAGTTCTTCGCTCAGCTTGCTCATACCTAAACGACTCAGATCTTTCAAATTCTCCTTCTAATTGCAAGTTGTCTAATGGTTTCTCTGCTTTTCGTCTTTCTGCAGGGGTATATTGTTCTGGTTCAGGTCTTTCAAAACTACCTTCTGGCCGAAGATTGTCGAAATGTTTGATCGGCGTTCTAACTTCAGCCGGCACAACTTCAAGTTGCTCAGGCCTTTCAAATTCGCCCTCCGGCTGCAAGTTGTCTTTTGGTTTCTTTGCTTTAGGCCTCTCAGCTGGCTTAAATTTCTCCTGCTCAGGCCTTTCAAAATCGCCCTCCGGCTGTAGGTTGTCTTTTGGTTTCTTTGCTTGGGGCCTCTCAGTTGGCTTAAATTTCTCCTGTTCGGGTCTTTCAAAATCACCTTCGGGCTGTAAGTTATCCTTTGGTTTTTTCGCTTTGGGTCTTTCAGCCGGCTCATACCGCTGTTGCTCTGGCCTCTCGAAATCGCCTTCAGGTCGAAGATTGTCGAAATGTTTGATTGGCGTCCTAACTTCAGCCGGCACTACTTTTTGCTGTTCAGGTCTTTCAAAATCGCCCTCCGGCTGCAAGTTGTCTTTTGGTTTCTTCGCTTTCGGCCTTTCAGTCGGCTCGTACCGCTGTTGTTCTGGTCTTTCAAAATCACCCTCAGGTCGAAGATTGTCGAAATGTTTAATCGGCGTCCTAACTTCAGCCGGCACAACTTTAAGTTGCTCAGGCCTTTCAAAATCGCCCTCAGGCTGCAAGTTGTCTTTTGGTTTCTTCGCTTTGGGCCTCTCAGCTGGCCTAAATTTCTCCAGCTCAGGCCTTTCAAAATTGCCCTCCGGCTGTAGGTTGTCTTTTGGTTTCTTTGCTTGGGGCCTCTCAGTTGGCTTAAATTTCTCCGGTTCTGGTCTTTCAAAATCACCTTCTGGCTGTAAGTTATCCTTTGGTTTTTTCGCTTTGGGTCTTTCAGCCGGCTCATACCGCTGTTGCTCTGGCCTCTCAAAATCGCCTTCAGGTCGAAGATTGTCGAAATGTTTGATTGGCGTCCTAACTTCAGCCGGCACAACTTTTTGCTGTTCAGGTCTTTCAAAATCTCCCTCCGGCTGTAAGTTATCTTTTGGTCTCTTCGCTTTGGGCCTCTCAGCTGGCCTAAATTTCTCCTGCTCAGGCCTTTCAAAATCGCCCTCCGGCTGTAGGTTGTCTTTAGGTTTCTTTGCTTGGGGCCTCTTAGTTGGCTTAAATTTCTCCTGCTGAGGCCTTTCAAAATCGCCTTCCGGCTGCAAGTTATCTTTTGGTTTTTTCGCTTTTGGCCTTTCAGCCGGCTCGTACCGCTGTTGTTCTGGTCTTTCAAAATCACCCTCAGGTCGAAGATTGTCGAAATGTTTAATCGGCGTCCTAACTTCAGCCGGCACAATTTTTCGCTGTTCAGGTCTTTCAAAGTCTCCCTCCGGCTGTAAGTTGTCTTTTGGTCTCTTCGCTTTGGGTCTTTCAGTTGGCTTATATTTGAGTTGCTCCGGTCTCTCAAAGTCGCCTTCAGGTCGAAGGTTATCATAATGTTTGATCAGTGTTCTTCGCTCTGCTTGTTCATACCTAAACGACTCAGATCGTTCAAATTCGCCTTCTAGCTGCAGGTTGTCTGTTGGTTTCTCCGCTTTGCGTCTTTCTGCGGGTCTATATTGTTCTTGTTCAGGTCTCTCAAAACTACCCTCCGGTCGAAGATTGTCGAAATGTTTAATCGGCGTCCTAATTTCAGCCGGCACAACTTTAAGTTGCTCGGGCCTTTCAAAATCACCCTCCGGCTGCAAGTTGTCTTTTGGTTTTTTCGCTTTGGGCCTCTCAGCTGACTTAAATTTCTCCTGCTCAGGCCTTTCAAATTCGCCTTCCGGCTGCAAGTTATCTTTTGGTTTTTTCGCTTTTGGCCTTTCAGCCGGCTCGTACCGCTGTTGTTCTGGTCTTTCAAAATCACCCTCAGGTCGAAGATTGTCGAAATGTTTAATCGGCGTCCTAACTTCAGCCGGCACAACTTTAAGTTGCTCAGGCCTTTCAAAATCGCCCTCAGGGTGCAAGTTGTCTTTTGGTTTCTTCGCTTTGGGCCTCTCAGCTGGCCTAAATTTCTCCTGCTCAGGCCTTTCAAAATCGCCCTCCGGCTGTAGGTTGTCTTTTGGTTTCTTTGCTTGGGGCCTCTCAGTTGGCTTAAATTTCTCCTGTTCGGGTCTTTCAAAATCACCTTCGGGCTGTAAGTTATCCTTTGGTTTTTTCGCTTTGGGTCTTTCAGCCGGCTCGTACCGCTGTTGTTCTGGTCTTTCAAAATCACCTTCAGGTCGAAGATTGTCAAAATGTTTAATCGGCGTCCTAACTTCAGCCGACACAACTTTTTGCTGTTCAGGTCTTTCAAAATCTCCCTCCGGCTGTAAGTTGTCTTTTGGTCTCTTCGCTTGGGTCTTTCAGTTGGCTTATATTTGAGTTGCTCGGTCTCTCAAAGTCGCCTTCAGGTCGAAGGTTATCATAATGTTTGATCAGTGTTCTTCGCTCTGCTTGTTCATACCTAAACGACTCAGATCGTTCAAATTCGCCTTCTAGCTGCAGGTTGTCTGTTGGTTTCTCCGCTTTGCGTCTTTCTGCGGGTCTATATTGTTCTTGTTCAGGTCTCTCAAAACTACCCTCCGGTCGAAGATTGTCGAAATGTTTAATCGGCGTCCTAATTTCAGCCGTAACAACTTTAAGTTGCTCGGGCCTTTCAAAATCGCCCTCCGGCTGCAAGTTGTCTTTTGGTTTCTTCGCTTTGGGCCTCTCAGCTGACTTAAATTTCTCCTGCTCAGGCCTTTCAAAATCGCCTTCCGGCTGCAAGTTATCTTTTGGTTTTTTCGCTTTTGGCCTTTCAGCCGGCTCGTACCGCTGTGGTTCTGGTCTTTCAAAATCACCCTCAGGTCGAAGATTGTCGAAATGTTTAATCGGCGTCCTAACTTCAGCCGGCACAACTTTAAGTTGCTCAGGCCTTTCAAAATCGCCCTCAGGCTGCAAGTTGTCTTTTGGTTTCTTCGCTTTGGGCCTCTCAGCTGGCCTAAATTTCTCCTGCTCAGGCCTTTCAAAATCGCCCTCCGGCTGTAGGTTGTCTTTTGGTTTCTTTGCTTGGGGCCTCTCAGTTGGCTTAAATTTCTCCTGTTCGGGTCTTTCAAAATCACCTTCGGGCTGTAAGTTATCTTTTGGTTTTTTCGCTTTGGGTCTTTCAGCCGGCTCATACCGCTGTTGTTCTGGTCTTTCAAAATCACCCTCAGGTCGAAGATTGTCGAAATGTTTAATCGGCGTCCTAACTTCAGCCGGCACAACTTTTTGCTGTTCAGGTCTTTCAAAATCTCCCTCCGGCTGTAAATTGTCTTTAGGTCTCTTCGCTTTGGGTCTTTCAGTTGGCTTATATTTGAGTTGCTCCGGTCTCTCAAAGTCGCCTTCAGGTCGAAGGTTATCATAATGTTTGATCAGTGTTCTTCGCTCTGCTTGTTCATACCTAAACGACTCAGATCGTTCAAATTCGCCTTCTAGCTGCAGGTTGTCTGTTGGTTTCTCCGCTTTGCGTCTTTCTGCGGGTCTATATTGTTCTTGTTCAGGTCTCTCAAAACTACCCTCCGGTCGAAGATTGTCGAAATGTTTAATCGGCGTCCTAATTTCAGCCGGAACAACTTTAAGTTGCTCGGGCCTTTCAAAATCGCCCTCCGGCTGCAAGTTGTCTTTTGGTTTCTTCGCTTTGGGCCTCTCAGCTGACTTAAATTTCTCCTGCTCAGGCCTTTCAAAATCGCCTTCCGGCTGCAAGTTATCTTTTGGTTTTTTCGCTTTTGGCCTTTCAGCCGGCTCGTAACGCTGTTGTTCTGGTCTTTCAAAATCACCCTCAGGTCGAAGATTGTCGAAATGTTTAATCGGCGTCCTAACTTCAGCCGGCACAACTTTACGTTGCTCAGGCCTTTCAAAATCGCCCTCAGGCTGCAAGTTGTCTTTTGGTTTCTTTGCTTTGGGCCTCTCAGCTGGCCTAAATTTCTCCTGCTCAGGCCTTTCAAAATCGCCCTCCGGCTGTAGGTTGTCTTTTGGTTTCTTAGCTTGGGGCCTCTCAGTTGGCTTAAATTTCTCCTGTTCGGGTCTTTCAAAATCACCTTCGGGCTGTAAGTTATCCTTTGGTTTTTTCGCTTTGGGTCTTTCAGCCGGCTCGTACCGCTGTTGTTCTGGTCTTTCAAAATCACCTTCAGGTCGAAGATTGTCAAAATGTTTAATCGGCGTCCTAACTTCAGCCGACACAACTTTTTGCTGTTCAGGTCTTTCAAAATCTCCCTCCGGCTGTAAGTTGTCTTTTGGTCTCTTCGCTTTGGGTCTTTCAGTTGGCTTATATTTGAGTTGCTCCGGTCTCTCAAAGTCGCCTTCAGGTCGAAGGTTATCATAATGTTTGATCAGTGTTCTTCGCTCTGCTTGTTCATACCTAAACGACTCAGATCGTTCAAATTCGCCTTCTAGCTGCAGGTTGTCTGTTGGTTTCTCCGCTTTGCGTCTTTCTGCGGGTCTATATTGTTCTTGTTCAGGTCTCTCAAAACTACCCTCCGGTCGAAGATTGTCGAAATGTTTAATCGGCGTCCTAATTTCAGCCGGCACAACTTTAAGTTGCTCGGGCCTTTCAAAATCGCCCTCCGGCTGCAAGTTGTCTTTTGGTTTCTTCGCTTTGGGCCTCTCAGCTGACTTAAATTTCTCCTGCTCAGGCCTTTCAAAATCGCCTTCCGGCTGCAAGTTATCTTTTGGTTTTTTCGCTTTTGGCCTTTCAGCCGGCTCGTAACGCTGTTGTTCTGGTCTTTCAAAATCACCCTCAGGTCGAAGATTGTCGAAATGTTTAATCGGCGTCCTAACTTCAGCCGGCACAACTTTAAGTTGCTCAGGCCTTTCAAAATCGCCCTCAGGCTGCAAGTTGTCTTTTGGTTTCTTTGCTTTGGGCCTCTCAGCTGGCCTAAATTTCTCCTGCTCAGGCCTTTCAAAATCGCCCTCCGGCTGTAGGTTGTCTTTTGGTTTCTTAGCTTGGGGCCTCTCAGTTGGCTTAAATTTCTCCTGTTCGGGTCTTTCAAAATCACCTTCGGGCTGTAAGTTATCCTTTGGTTTTTTCGCTTTGGGTCTTTCAGCCGGCTCATACCGCTGTTGTTCTGGTCTTTCAAAATCACCCTCAGGTCGAAGATTGTCGAAATGTTTAATCGGCGTCCTAACTTCAGCCGGCACTACATTTTGCTGTTCAGGTCTTTCAAAATCTCCCTCCGGCTGTAAGTTGTCTTTTGGTTTCTTCGCTTTGGGTCTTTCAGTTGGCTCATATTTGAGCTGCTCCGGTCTCTCAAAGTCGCCTTCAGGTCGAAGGTTATCATAATGTTTGATCAGAGTTCTTCGCTCTGCTTGTTCATACCTAAACGACTCAGATCGTTCAAATTCGCCTTCTAGCTGCAGGTTGTCTGTTGGTTTCTCCGCTTTGCGCCTTTCTGCGGGTCTATATTGTTCTTGTTCAGGTCTCTCAAAACTACCCTCCGGTCGAAGATTGTCGAAATGTTTAATCGGCGTCCGAACTTCAGCCGGCACAACTTTAAGATGCTCTGGCCTTTCAAAATCGCCCTCCGGCTGCAAGTTGTCTTTTGGTTTTTTCGCTTTTGGCCTTTCAGCCGGCTCGTACCGCTGTTGTTCTGGTCTTTCGAAATTACCTTCAGGTCGAAGATTGTCGAAATGTCTAATCGGCGTCCTAACTTCAGCCGGCCCAACTTTAGGTGGCTCAGGTCTTTCAAAATCTCCCTCCGGCTGTAAGTTGTCTTTTGGTTTCTTCGCTTTGGGTCTTTCAGTTGGCTCATATTTGAGCTGCTCCGGTCTCTCAAAGTCGCCTTCAGGTCGAAGGTTATCATAATGCTTGATCAGAGTTCTTCGCTCTGCTTGTTCATACCTAAACGACTCAGATCGTTCAAATTCGCCTTCTAGCTGCAGGTTGTCTGTTGGTTTCTCCGCTTTGCGCCTTTCTGCGGGTCTATATTGTTCTTGTTCAGGTCTCTCAAAACTACCCTCCGGTCGAAGATTGTCGAAATGTTTAATCGGCGTCCGAACTTCAGCCGGCACAACTTTAAGATGCTCTGGCCTTTCAAAATCGCCCTCCGGCTGCAAGTTGTCTTTTGGTTTTTTCGCTTTTGGCCTTTCAGCCGGCTCGTACCGCTGTTGTTCTGGTCTTTCGAAATTACCTTCAGGTCGAAGATTGTCGAAATGTCTAATCGGCGTCCTAACTTCAGCCGGCCCAACTTTAGGTGGCTCAGGTCTTTCAAAATCTCCCTCCGGCTGTAAGTTGTCTTTTGGTTTCTTCGCTTTGGGTCTTTCAGTTGGCTCATATTTGAGCTGCTCCGGTCTCTCAAAGTCGCCTTCAGGTCGAAGGTTATCATAATGCTTGATCAGAGTTCTTCGCTCTGCTTGTTCATACCTAAACGACTCAGATCGTTCAAATTCGCCTTCTAGCTGCAGGTTGTCTGTTGGTTTTTCCGCTTTGCGCCTTTCTGCGGGTCTATATTGTTCTTGTTCAGGTCTCTCAAAACTACCCTCCGGTCGAAGATTGTCGAAATGTTTAATCGGTGTCCTAACTTCAGACGGCACAATTTTAAGTTGCTCAGGCCTTTCAAAATCGCCCTCTGGCTGCAAGTTGTCTCTTGGTTTCTTCGCTTTGGGCCTCTCACCTGGCTTAAATTTCTCCTGCTCAGGCCTTTCAAAATCGCCTTCCGGCTGCAAGTTATCTTTTGGTTTTTTCGCTTTTGGCCTTTCAGCCGGCTCGTACCGCTGTTGTTCTGGTCTTTCAAAATCACCTTCAGGTCGAAGATTGTCGAAATGTTTAATCGGCGTCCTAACTTCAGCCGGCATAACTTTAAGTTGCTCAGGCCTTTCAAAATCGCCCTCTGGCTGCAAGTTGTCTTTTGGTTTTTTCGCTTTGGGCCTCTCAGCTGGCCTGAATTTCTCCTGCTCCGGCCTTTCAAAATCGCCTTCCGGATGCAAGTTATCTTTTGGTTTTTTTGCTTTTGGCCTTTCAGCCGGTTCGTACTGCTGTTGTTCTGGTCTTTCAAAATCACCTTCAGGTCGAAGATTGTCGAAATGTTTAATCGGCGTCCTAACTTCAGCCGGCATAACTTTAAGTTGCTCAGGCTTTTCAAAATCGCCCTCCGGCTGCAAGTTGTCTTTTGGTTTCTTCGCTGTGGGCCTCTCAGCTGGCCTAAATTTCTCTTGCTTAGGCCTTTCAAAATCGCCCTCCGGCTGCAAGTTGTCTTTTGGTTTCTTTGCTTTTGGCCTCTCAGTTGGCCTAAATTTCTCCTGTTCAGGTCTTTCAAAATCACCTTCGGGGTGTAAGTTATCCTTTGGTTTTTTCGCTTTGGGCCTTTCAGCCGGCTCATACCGCTGTTGTTCTGGTCTTTCGAAATCGCCTTCAGGTCGAAGATTGTCGAAATATTTAATCGGCGTCCTAACTTCAGCCGGCACAATTTTATTTTGCTCAGGTCTTTCAAAATCGCCGTCCGGGTGCAAGTTGTCTTTTGGTTTCTTCGCTTTCGGCCTTTCAACCGGCTCATATTTTTGATGTTCTGGTCTCTCAAAATCGCCTTCAGGTCGTAGATTATCGAAGTGTTTAATCGGCGTCCTAATTTCAGCCGGCACAACTTTATGTTGCTCAGGTCTCTCAAAATCACCTTCAGGTTGCAAGTTATCCTTTGGTTTCATTGCTTTAGGCCTCTCGGTTGACATATATTTCGGTTGCTCGGGCCTCTCAAAATCGCCTTCAGGTCGAAGGTTATCAGAGTGTTTAACAGGCATTACTCTCTTATCTACTTGTTTTGCAGCACTTGTTCGTTCTACATGGGAATCGATGTCATGTGTTTCAGAAGCAGAGTAATATTTATGGATGTCATCCTTAGTCCATGTTTTTCTTCGGGAAGGCTTCTCGCTTATAACGGAGAGTGCTGAGTCCTCACAATTTAGTTTAACGTAATCAACCTCTTCCTCGGCTTTTAAATAACTTTGATTAAAGCTAAAACTTTCCTCATGTTTAACATATTCTTCTTGCATTGTATTTTCTTCTGATTTTGTCCACGTGTTACGTCTTACGGGTTGAAGCATTTGAGTTTGTAAGCCACTATAGTCCGTTTTTGTCTTTGTTGCATCTACGTTTATAAATGTTACATTTTGGAGTATAAATATTTATATAGTTATTTGTATAATTATTTACTTACCGAAAATCTCTCCTTCCATATGTAAGTTATCCATTCTTTTCACTATTTCCGCGCGATCACCATGGTATTTCAAATGTTCTTTAGACATTTTGGCTGTATCAGAAATACTATTATACGTACTTTTTGCAGGTCTTTCAAAATCTCCTTCAGGTTTAAGATTGTCTTGAGGGCGGAAGGGCTTAGACCTTGGAGTAGATTCATATTTTGGCTTTTGTGGTATATCGAGAGAACCCTCCAGGCGTAAGTTATCATAATAACGTATGGCAGTTGCTTTTTCAACGTGCTTTTGATCATAATCATTGCGGTAAGCAGTGGTTGCTTCTATAGCCGAATCCCATTCTGTATACTGATAACCAGGGTTATGTGGACATCGATGATGGCTAAAAATCAATGTATAATAAAATTATAAATGAATAATTTCGTTTATCATTCAAGAAATCGTTGAACGTCTTGATAAATAAAGAAAAAAAAATGCATATATATATATATATATATATATATATATATAAAAATGATAAATGGATTGTATTAAAATAAACATAATGTAAAAATTGCAATATTATTTAAGACCCAAACAAATATTTTATTTGCAAATGGCACTGAAATTCAGAGCAGTTTTTCATTTATTTAAAAATGAACGTCAATTTAAATATATGTATTATTAAATGTTAGTCTTTGTGGCTGTATTTTTGGTGTGGCATTTCTTATTAGACTGAAGGTGAAGGAAGATCGGCGTTTATTTAAATTAGAAATAAAATTTTTCCTCTCAATGTAAGGTGGAAAAAAGAAAGTATAATATGTGAAAGTAATATATGTTAATGTATACATAGAAAAAATGTTAGAGCTTCGTTTATAAAGAATTAAACCTTAAAATTAAACTAGTATAAAAATAATTAACAAACGCAGATACCATTCAGTCTATAGAATATATTCAGTGCAATAAGAGATACTACAAAGCACAATAACAAAAACATTAAAATAACTTTTTAAAAAAACAATATTTAAATTTGAATCACAGGCAAAAATATAAATTAATAAATTTAATAAAAGTGCTATGTTATTCTATGTGTACCCTATCATTCTATATTTCATACTATTTATTATTTTATATAATCCATTTCTTACTAATTATTCAATTTGGTATTAATATTTAGTACTTGATAAATAAAGCATACTTGACATTTAGCCAAGATATGAGATATAAAGTAAGGATTTCCACCGAAAATAAACACCATATTATCAAGAAAACTAGTGGTGCATGGCATCGTAAAATAAGGCAAATTGCTGGAACTTTCCGTACCGAAAATTAAAATTAAAAAAAAAACTTATTTTTAAACTTATGAAGAACTAGTGGTGCATGGCATCGTACCTTAAAGCAAATTGCTGGAACTTCCCGTGGCAAAATAAAATATTCGAGAAAAAAAAAGCCAGAATCAATAAACATTGATCAATAATTGATAACAATTGTTTTGAATACTTTCAAATAGATAATTATAAATACTATATATTTTATCGTCGCTATATATATTTTATCGTCGCTATATATATTATATTGCGACGTAGAAAACACTTTACTTTAACAAGAGATGACGAATGAATTTATCTGACAAGGGAACCCTCAGGTTTATTTTTCTGGGATTTTGGTGAATTTTTGCATGATGATAGAGTTGATAATCAAACCAAACCCCAGAAAATACTAGATAGTGAGGATATATTTCTTACGAGTAGAATAACGCGTATGAAATATATAAATTTTTAAACTGGGTTGTAAATTCAGTTGTACGTCGCATGTGTTTAATGATCATTTTTGACCGCCATTTTTTTAACGTCAATTGCAGTGCACATTTCTCATATAAAATAGTCGTACGTAATCAAGCGTCAATAAATATATTTTAAACTTACCCGCATGTACATATTTCACAAACACATTGTTCTTCGTATTTTTTATATTTAGTGCCTTCATTTGCCGATGTACTGCTATCGCTCTTTGTCTTGATATATTTTTTTTCAAACATTCCTTGCCGAGACGATAGGTCACCAGAAACAATTGACGTCTTTTCCCGAACATCCTCCTGACAAAAAATAATTTGAAAATTATTTTAGACATGCATATTAAAATCCTAGATACCTAATAGTATTTAGGTTTGGTTTCTTTGTTTGCAATTTTCAAAACATTATGTTGAAAAAATTATTATTTTGATGCTGTTGCTGTTGCAATTTTGGTGTATTAAGATTTAATATATGTATATATGATTTAGTTGTTAATTTTGATGTTGAGATATATGAGTAAGTTCTTGTGGGGCGATACATAAAAAAAATAAAAATCAAAGATTTATAAATTAATCTTTAATTCTAAACGTTTCGACATTCAATTTAATGTCATCATCAGTGGATCTAAAAACAGTATAAAAAATTAGTATAACTAGATAATTATAATATATGTGGATTGGTAAAGAAACTATAAATATAAGAAAAGAATTAACAAAACAGCAACACTTGACAACAAACAAATTATAACTGATAGGAAAGGTAATAGAAACTAGATATTAAATAGATAAAAAAAGAAAAAGAATATATGAATAAATATATAAGTACATATATACACATAAAACCTACGCATATATACATATACATATACATACATACATCTACAGAAATATACATATATTCTTAAAAATACAAAGATTTATAAATTAATTTTTAATTCCAAACTTTTCTATAAGATAAAAAAATCATATATATATATATATATATATATATATATATATATGCCAGATGACCCGACAGACGTTGTCCTATACCCACGTCCCCAATTTAAGTTGCAATTTTTTTAATATCCTATCCTATACTTTTTAACTTCCCGTAGGGTAAGTTATTGTAATGGACCGAAAATCGGAATTGAAAATTTTTACATTTCTCGACGTTTTGAAGGTTTCAGTCACGTTTTCGGGCGCACGGATCAACCGATTTGAATGGTTCCAAAAACATTCGATTCCTATTGATAGGTAAAAGAGCTGATTAGTTTTTGGCGAAGGCAGGTCCAGCTGTTTCGGAGATACGGAGCAAAGAGTGCAGAAAATTGAGAGAACGGAGTATCCGATTTGAATGATCTAAAAAACATTCAATTAGTAATGATTTGGAGAAACGTCTATTAGTTTTTGGCAAAGGCAGGCCCAGCCATTTCGAAGATACGGAGCTAAATATGTAAAAAATGGCAGTTTTTGAGAGAACTAAGCGTCCGATTTAAATGATTCAAAGAACTTTCTGCTTGTCTTAACAAAATAATTGATTTTGTTTTTTTTTTTTTTTAGTTTTTCTTGTATATCGAAAATAATTCAGATTTTATTTTTATTCTGACTAAAGTTCGAATATAACTTAAACAAATAATTTTAAATTTGCAATTCAGTTTATATACTTCTTATAAATATTAGACAATGTTTCAATATTTATAATAATCTATTTGAAAACATTCAGTATTCCTCGAACATTTCGTTCCGGTACGGGAAGTTCCAGCAATTTGCCTTAAGTCATGATGCCACCCACCCCACTAGTTAATATTGTATTCAATGTCCTTCCATTTTTGGTCTTAGCATAAGCTATATACGTATAGGAAACTGCAGTTTTTTTTATCAGTATAAGAAATTCATAAAGAACAAATATAGTATCTACGGTAAAAGAGCAATATCACGTACCCTATATTAGTTGCTTTTTGGCAATTACAATTCCTAGATTACATTTTTCTTAATAATAATTTAACTAGCTGTAAGTGGAATTCTGTCTTAAGGCAATTAGGGCATCGTGCCTTAAGGCAAATTGCTGGAACTTCCCGTACAAAAATTATTATTTTTTTTAAAAACCGATTAACATTTTTGAAAAAATTTTACTTCGAAAAAAATAGATTTTTGAGAAACTATAAATTTGACAAAAAAATACTTTTTTTTGAAAAAAAAAAAAATTATTTGAAGAAAAATTTTTTTTTGAGAAAAAATTTTTTTTTTGAAAACAAAAAAAAATTTTGAAAAAAAATGTTTTCTTCATTTTGACATATTTTGAAAATTCTGAACTTTTTTTCACTTGCACTGCACTGCTTGAACTGCATAGAGACGAAATGTCAAAGCTCGCTAGTGCCGCGCCGCCGTCTAACGCGTAAACATTGGTACGGAACCCACAGAAATGTAAAAAAAAAATATACTTATTGTTGAAATCTCTATAAAATATCTGACAATTTGATGTGCATATGTCTAATGATCATTTTTAACCGCCGAATGGCATTTTTTTTTACTTTTTTCATTAGATCTCCGAAACCGCTAGACCTGCCTTCATGAAAATTTGATCAATTCTACATCTTGTCAATACAAGTAAAATGTTTTTTGAATTATTCAAATCGGACGCTCCGTTCTCTTAAAAATGGAGGTACCGTTTTTGGCACTTTTTGCCCCGTATCTTTGGAACGGCTGGACCTGCCCTTGCCAAAAACTAATCAGCACGTCTCCTTATCAATACGAATCGAATGTTTTTTGAATTATTCAAATCGGTTAATCCGTGTTCCCGAAATCGTCGACGAAAATTTGTATCCGCACATACATACACACACATACATACATACATACATACATACATACATACATACACACACACACACACACACACATACATCCATTTTTTCTAAGGTATGCCAAAATGTTCAGAAACCTCTGAAACGTAAAGATATATAAATATTTTCATTTTCGATTTTTTTGCGATTACTATAACTTGCCCTACGGGAAGTTAATAAACATTATTACTTTAGTTAAAATCTTAGGTGAATTAATTTGTAAAATCTAGTTCAAATGGCACTGTTCAATCTAAGATCACGAACTTGCTAAATATTCCATATCCAATGCCAAACAAATGAATTTTTGACACATGAAACAAAATTCTAAATAATTTTTTCAATAAGTAGAAATATTCTTTTGTATTTAAATAGGTAAAGTAAAGCAAAATACAACATGCATAAGTTTTAAAAAATAATGTATATGCAGTTTTGGACGTATTGTGTTATTTATTAAACTAAATTATATATTTTCTACTGCCAAACATATATTGTATCTTATATTATTTTAATTTCTGGCACATCTCAGCTGGTTTCCGGAAATAATATTGTAGATATTACATTTTTTTAAGTTATAATCATGAATATGGATATTATATTCTAATATTGTCCAGGCTCGGTTAAACTAAATTCAAATTTCAATTAAATCGATATTTTTAGCAGACAGTTCTCATGTGTCGAAATGTATTCAATTTCGAACAATAATATGTGGTTTTTGCATTTTTTCCATTTATTTCTATAATATTACTATTGTTTTATAATTCCCCACAACTCGAAAATTTCTCGACAAACTCTAAAAAGATTTATTAAAATCGTAATAACCGTGTAGAAGAAGTATCAATTCATACATCATTACAGAAGAATTTTATATATAAGATATATGAATAATGTAGACCATTCATTATTTTTGCGTTTCGACACTTGATATGTATATGTATATATATATATATATATATATATATATATATATATATATATGTGTGTGTGTGTGTGTGTGTGTGTCATCATTTAGCAAATCTAAAATAATTACAAAAAATATACAATAATAGAAATAATTAACTTTGAAATTATTTGAACAGCGATTACATAATCAATCAATCAATATAAGTGATAATCAAAATTATATTAATGAGTACTCTTTAGCGTACGACCTGATCTATATTGCAATTTTAAGCTTAATTAATTTTTGTAGGCATACTTATAAATATTCATATCACTAGATTGACAGAGCAAGTCAATTTGACTCATTTACACTTTTAATGTGATATACATAACAATTTTAGGTAATTATTTTTTTAAATCATTTTTTTTTGTTTTTCATATAACAATGAAAGGTATACAAAAAGTAATGCATATTCCTCCCTACTTCCTTACATCCAATAATTCATATGTGCTATACCTATTTTGCCAAATTGTCAAATTGTCTCAACGTTTTAGACACGTAACTTATAATCCTTTTCATAAAAAGTATTTCTTGCAAACTATCCTGTTGAAATGGTAGAATCAAATTTTAGTTTGATGTTAGAAGCAAGTATCTTCTAAACGGTTTTCCCTATTGGGGCAAAAATGAAGCCAGTAGATCAAATGTTTCCTTGGGCGAGTTTGTTATATGTAAACTGACTGAGCCATATTCAGGAGGTGGACGAAATATCACGCCAGATAATTTCTTAACAAGTTTATCACTTGCAAAAAATTATGCGACATCACAACTTTTTTGGTCGAGCAATACGATCAAACAGAAAAGAATTGCTCCGAACTACTAAAGCAAAAAATGACAAAATGATACCCTGCTCTACAAAACTTTATAAAACGGAGGCATACTGAACATGCATAAAAGTGGAGCCAAAAAAAATATTTATTATTTAATTATTAGTTATTGCAAAATTGAAAATCCTGTTCTCTCATAATTTTTTATGTTTTTGTTATTCATTGTAATGTAATTTAGACTGCTAAATGGTGACACACATCAAGTATCAAAACGTATAATAAAGAAATTTTTCAATATTAACCTTCTTTATTTCGACGAATGAGCTGCAAATTATCTCAAATGTTTCAACGTCGACAAAATTATAAATATTGTGTATATATATATATATATATATATATATATATATGTGTGTGTGTGTGTGTGTGTGTGTGACAAAGAAGTCTGTTCGGCAACTAGTTTATAAATTCCTATCTATCAATAAAAAATAACTCTTACTTATTTTCATCCACAAAAACATATTTTAAAGATAAATAAACAACCACGTTGTGAAAGTTGACTGTTACTTTAATTTTAGATAAATAAATTTATGTAATATGTAATTTAATTTTCCGTAGTACCTAAACTAAATGCTTACACGATATAAAACGTTGATTTTTTGTTTTAATCTATATTACATTGCGGAAGCCAAATGATAATTGTTAACTTAGTTATTATATGTAAATATATGCATATATACATAAGCATAAGTATGTGTACATGTACATTTATGTATATTCATATGTATACATATACGCAGTGCTGGATTTACAGCAAGGGCAGTCGAAGCTAGTGCCCAGGGCGGCAAAAATTTTAATTAATTAACTAATTCTTTTTAATAACATTTTTTATTTCAAGAAATATAATTAACAAAACATAATACTATTACAGTGCAAAGTTTCGGTTCAAATAACCGATTATCAAAATTTATTATGTTTTATTTCAAATTTTTCGACATTAATTTGAATTCATTATGAGCGCGGAGTCGACCCTGCTCTATCCCTTCTCTACCTCTCCCAACGTAAATTATGAAATTGGTTAATAAGTTATTATCAAATTTGGCAATTTGGCAATTTGGCTAATAGAGAGATTCATAAACGAGCTGAAAGTTTAAGAAAAATATGTTCTTCAGATCACTTCCAAGCTTATTGCGCCGAAAAAAAAGAAAGCTAAGCATCGTGCCTTAAGGAATATTGCCGAAAGTTTCTGCACCGATAATTAAATTTTTTAAAAAAGTTTTAAAATTTGTTGAAAAATGAAAAAAAATGGCTTTTTCAAAAAAAAATATATTTTATGTTAATTTTTTTTAAAAATTATGAACTTTTTTCAAAGCAATCGCGCTTCATAGCTGTTCTAGGGACGAAACATCGAAGCGCATAGACGCCGCGTCGCAACCCATAGAAATATGAACAAAATTTTTACTCATTATTAAAATCTTTATAAAATATCTGATAATTTGATGTGTATATGTCTAATGATCATTTTTGATCGCCAAATTGTATTTTTTTTATTCGATCTCCAAAACCATAAATTTGAAAATATAAGAAAAACAAAATTTTCAATAAAGTCAAATGTTTTCAAAAACTTTGTTTCAAGAATTCCAATGAATTTTAATTTTTTTTTTATTTTGATATCGTATCGAACACGGAAAGTTCCAGCAATTTGCCTTAGGGCACGATGCCATGCACCACTAGTTATACTATGTAATGCGTAATAATTTTTTTGCAATCAAATAGTTATTTTAATTTTACAAAAATGAAATATAAAATTTAATTAAGTAAATTTTTTCGTCAGTACCAAAGGGTGCCAAATTTTTAAATCCGACCCTGCATATACGTATAATACAAAGCTTGATGCATAAAAAATAATAAAGTCGGGAAATTTAAAAAAAATCTACCGTCTTGATGCACTTCCATTAAAATGAATTGTTTTTGAATATTTATAAGTAAGCATTTGTAAACTGAGGTAATTAATCAAATACAATATCAAGTAAAAATCGGCGTTCGCCACTTTTATCGCCTATAAAAATGCTGGGTTAAGATGTACAAAAGCAAGACAGCTTGTAGATCAAGTTTGTCTCATCCTCAGTGTAATATAAATTAATAAATTAAATAATATTAAGTTGATTAGCTATAGTTATTAGTTAATTAAGTCAATGTGGTACGCAATTTTGTTAAAAAAAACTAGTGGGGTGCATGGCATCGTGCCTTAAGGCAAATTGCTGAAACTTCCCGTACCGTAACAAAATGTTCGAGGAATATTAACCCTCCATCGGTCGGATATTTTTTCACCTTCGAACGGTCGGAAAGGTCTGGCTAGACCACCATTCATTTTACATGCATCTATATGGGTTAAATGAGTTTTTGGTGTCTTATGTATTAACGATTATATAAAAAAATCAAGATATATAAAAAAAAATCGTTTTTTTTGTTAATTTTTCTGTTTTAAATCAATGAAAAACAATATTTATTCTTTTTCGGCGCCTTTGAAATGAATGTGTGCATTACTCATCCGATTTTCAGTGTTTGCGATTACCAATAAGTTTGGTAGGTTCTCAAGGAACTCTCGTCATGAAAATACTAACATTCATGTTACAACACATAGCAAAGAATATAAACAAAGCAGTTTGAATAGAAAATACCATGAAAAAAGACAAAATACTGGTTTACATATTAAAAAGCGTATATTTCATACAAAATGTATGGGTGGTCTAGACAGACCTTTCCGACCGTTCGAAGTATAAAAAAGTTAATATCCTTATAATTATCCTTCTGTACATTTTTTCGTCCTGATTTTTTCATTGATCGACAGCTAATGAAATTTTAGGAAAAGTCAAGAAATTTCAAGTCGATAGAATTACTAGAAGTATTTTTTTTTATTAATTGAAGTCGAAAAAAGCCTGGCCAGACCACGCCGACCGACGGAGGGTTAAATATTTTCAAATAGATTATTATAAATATTGTAACATTGTCTAATATTTATTAGAGTTATATAAACTGAATTGCAAAGTTGAAATTATTTGTTTAAATATGTTGTTTAATTATTAGAACTTTAGTCCGAATTAAAATAAAATTAAAAAATTAGAAGTATTGTAAATTAGGCAGATTTTTCTTTGATATCTTTTACAATTTCGAGAAAACGGTAATTGGAAAACTGAGTCCACTTCAAATATTCACTATATTTTGACCAATTTCGGATATTTTTAAAGCAAAAAACGTATAAACGGTTACGATCGGGTGTGGCCGATTTCTTATTGCGACGCGCCCATACCCATTGCTCAAGAAACAACTATTTGCAAAATTCTTATTATAGAAAGAATTTCAAATTTTATTTAATAATAAGATTTCTAGTTTTTTATTTTCTCAAAATATTCGATTCTCAAAAAATTGACGAAAATTATCAAAATATTCAATTTTTTGAAAAATCTGAAATAATTAAATCTGATAATTTCATAATTCATTCGCGCCCATTCAAGTCATTTTACAATATATTGCTAAAATAAAGATATATTCTATTAGATGCTTAAAATTCTATCGTAATAATCAAACGAAAAAAACAGAAAATTTGAGTTAGAATTACATTAGGTGTTAATGTTTCTGTAATTATTTAGTCAAACCATTTAGGATTTAAGTGAAACAAACGTGTTAGTGAAAATTAAAAAGTAACTCTAAAAACATTAAAATAAAATAAGTTGCTAAGAATTAGGTCAACCTGGATTATTAATCTTTAATGTTATTGTTATGCCCATGCATTTATCATAATTTTCTTTATAGTTATACCTATTTTAATTTGAGGATTTGGGAATCTATCGGAAGACATTGAGTAATTAGTTTGTTATTTTATAATAGCTTTTGAAAAGGTAACACAATGGTTCGCCTTTTACTATATATAAATATATATATATATATATATATATATATATATATATATAATATTATTTTGTTAGAATATATTTAGTTATATTTGAAAATATAAAAATGAACTTACTGAGTATTCATCGCTCTTTAGTGATGAAACGTCAAGATTTCTTGCATTATTATCGACGAATGAAAGCTCATTTACACTAACATCAGTAATTGAAGAAGACCCTTCAAATACTAAATTTTCATTATTCGAACTCGTAACATGAGAATCGGTCGTGTCAAAAGTCGTTAAATTCGAAATCTTATGATATGCACTGATCTGCGTGCTAGCTATTATTTCAGAATGACTATCGTCTTCTATTGTTGTGTGCATGCTTTTGATACCATCCTTATAATTATCTTTTTCAATATTACTAACTATATTTTGAGGAAGAATATCATGAAACTTATTACCTACGCCGCTATATATGCGAACAGATTCTTCATTGTCGGTTACTGTATTACTACTATCACAAGATTTTATTAATGATGTATTCACTTGTTCTGTTATTTCATTCTTAATTTCAATCTTTTTATCCGTGGTGTTTTCTTGATGCACCTTCACAGTTTTATTATGAATTAAATCATCTTTTTGCTTCAATTGTACAACCTTACGTATCATTTTTCCTGGTCTTATTGGGTCATCAATCATAACAACTTTAGTTTTTGGATTTTTTATATTTTCGATATCTTTTTGATTGTCTATCGTTTTTGTGAGTTCGCGGTGCTTTATATTTTTATCTGCAGAATATTGTTTTTCTGAAATATCACTAAGGTATGTTGATTTATTGAATGTTTCTTCAGATTTGGTGCTAATTTCGTAATCTTGTCGTTCAGTAACTTGAGTGGATAAAGTACCAATTGAACTATCTTCAGACTGGTCAATTGTAGCCCTTACATCGGTTCTATCTTTAGTATACAAAATATTGCCACCAGATGAGTCTTTAATGGCATACATACTTTCTGAACGTCGATCTTTCTGCTTGCTAGGTGTCGATGTGCTCGTCATAGTTTCATTCATGGGTTGCGCGCTGCTATTAGCAACGCGTTCAACTATTTCATTAATAATATTACCAGCGGCATCGGTGGTAATATATGTAGTTTCTGTAAACCCTACTATATCTTCATCGCCAATTGTATTTGTGATTTTAGATTCTAACAATATCCTATTTTTCGACTTATCTAATATAGCACTCGGTTTGAAAGTTTTTAGCTTATCTGCAATTTGATTTGTCTCCTGTCGTACGTTTGTCAGAGTTTTTGAATCGAACGTAGTATTCTCCTTTTTTTCAAAGCTTTCAGAGACAATATTACCCAGAGCATCCAACGTTGTATACGTTGTTTCTGTCCACGCATGCGGTTCATCTGATTGAAATATTTCATCATTTACGTGCTGCAATTCTCCTTTTACTATTGCATACATTTTTTTAGTTTTAGAATCAGTGAACATTGTTTGGACTAGGTCTGATGGGAGATTTTCATTTTTTGATAGAAATATAGCACGGTCTTGATTGGTCAATTCTGAGTTGTCATCTTCAGTCCTTGTTGATTTATCAATAATTTTAAATTTATCATCTTTTTTACTTGAATCTTTAATTTTTCTGACATTTTTTCCACTTGTAGAAATAACATTGTCCGCAGTATTTTTGTTTGTTATGTAGGTCCTTTCAGTCCGAATTGAAGATAAATTCTTGTCTGTTTTTACATCACTCAGGTCAAGTCGCTTACCGTCTAATTTTGTTGAAGTGGAAGTAGTTTCAATGCCGATGGGCGATGTAATATCACTCAATCTTTTTGGAACACGTTCTTCAGAATCTTTGCATTCGTGAGCAATAAAATCTAATGTATCTTTCTTATAATTTGTACCCATTTTTAGTCCAGCCTTTGAATTTTTATCATCACGCATTTGTAAATAAAAGGTTTTATTTGATGTTTCGTCAATATTTTTTGACGAACTTGAAAGATCAGTTTGTTGGGCGGAAGTTGAACTGCTAGTTGAAAGCACCTTTTCATAAAAACTAGAATTGCTATTTAACGCTTTCCCATCACTAGTTTGCGTCAATTTAATTACACCATGGCTTCCAAAAGCTTCTTTCGAGAAAGATTCTACGTCATTTCTTGGTTCTGTAATGATGAAATTTGAATGAATAATCGGCTCGTCTAAAGAAGCAGAACTCAAGCGGAGATCGCTAACGTCCGTTATGACGACACCTGTGCTCCCACTCTCAGTACGTTGTATTTTGACTTCTGCAGAATTCTCAACGACATACTTCGTTTCGTTAGATACAGAACTACTGGCTAATTCTGTCGAAGAATTAAATTGTATTATTCTATTTGAATTTTCCTCAATATTTTCCAAAACAACAATCGGAGTTGTAATATTATCCATCGTCGATATCTTTTCTTTACTCGTCATTTTGCACAGATCACATTAATTTGAAATACAAACACTGACACTATCTATCGAAATAAACAAAACAAAATAATTTTCTATCACATAAATAATAATACAAAGGTAAATAAATAGCACATTCAATAACACGATTACGTCAGCATTAACAATAGCAACACGTACAAACCGACTAGTGACGAATTAAGAAGTAAAGTTGAAGTGATCGCGATGCCTCCGATAATCAAATCGAAGCGAACAAGTGTGGCCCACTGACGGCCTGTCCCCCCCAGCCCCACTTATTCGCACAACAGTTGTTCGCCCCACCAGCTTTCCAACGCCGACTGCTGATCATGGATCAAACGACGGCCGGCGTTCTCACGCGCAACGGTCACCTTCGCCAGTCTAAGGCACTAGCGGCTCAAATCCGTTTCGGCGATAAAGCCAATTATTATTATCTAATATACACTGAATCAACCATATACACACGATATAACAATCTATTTAATTTAGATCATTCCACTGATAATGACACGCTGTAACGTTTGCTTTGCTATGTCCAGGCGACCAGTCGTGTACACATTACAATGTCCCCAAAAGTCTTTCATATTTAATTGAAGCGTGGCCTTGATGAAACTAATCATATACTCAATATATATGTATGTATATGTATATATATACGCACACACATAGATAGGGGAGCTAGGGGCTTGTTGTAACAGTTTTTTTCGCTGATTACATTTCTACAAAATACAAATATTATTTCTACAAAATAATTTTACAATTAATCATATTCTAGAGAAAGTTCGGTTTTACGAATTAACCCATTTCCAAGGCTAGTTGTAACATCTCCCGGGATAAGTAGCAACGTAAAAAAAAAAATAATCTTTGCTTATTTTCAAGAAAATTGACATGTTGCTGAGTAATTCTTTTCATAAATCAATGTAAACTACAACTAGTGGGGTGCATGGTATCGTGCCTTAAGACAAATTGCTGGAACTTTCCGTACCGTAATTAAAAATCTTGGTAGGAAACCCAAAAAAATTTACACAAAATGTGTATGCATTATTAAAATTTCTATAAAATATCTGATAATTTGATGTACATATGTCCAATAAACTTTTTTGACCACAAAATGACATTTTTTTTAACTCATTTTTATTGAGAGTCCATAACCGCTGGACCTGCCTTTCCAAAAATTTAAACAGTTCTTTATCTTGTCAATACAAGTAAAATCTTTTTTAAATTATTAAAATCGGACGCTCCGTTCTCTTAAAAACTGAGTTACCGTTTTTGGCACTTTTTGCCCCGTATCTTCGGAACGGCTAGACCTGCTTTCGCCAAAAACTAATCAGCACGTCTCTTTATCAATACGAATCGAATGTTTTTTGAATTATTCAGATCGGTTGATCGGTGTTCCCGAAATCGTCGACGAAAATTTGTAACGCACACACACACCTACAGTCATTTTTTCTAAGGTATGCCAAAATATTCAGAAACCTTTCAAACGTAAAGATATATAAAAATTTTTATTTTCGATTTTTTTGCGATTACTATAACTTACCCTATGGGAAGTTAATTAATACAAATAAAATATATAGTGCCTCCTGTACCACTATTTGCATGTGACCATATCTTACAAACTATACATTCCACCCAATCTTTTCACTTAAATGTGAATATATTTTTTGCAAGTTATGACCAGCCTCAAGGTTTTGTTACAACTAACCTCATGTGTGATTTTTTTGCATTGATCCAGATAACTATTTAAACAAGTTAGCAATCATAAAAATTGTTCACATTATCAAAACTTTATAAATTTGAAACAAAACAAGATATAAAATTTTCAATTAATTGATGACAATATCGAAAATCGAAATTTAATGATATTACAATTTTATATTGCTTGTCAAAAATGACGCGGCTTCACACTTTAGTATACTGCGTCGGCCTGCGTGACAGTATCTATAACAGCATTGTGCAGGATGTTTTACATGTACAATCGAAACCAAGAAATATTTTAATATTGTTTAAGATCCTATTGAAAAAGGTTATTACTTACACGCTTACACCTATTACGATAAGCCCCTAGCTCCCCTATATATATAGAAATATACATGCACGTATTTTATTTGTGAATTTTGTATTGTGTACATACAAATATTAAATTTATATTACATAATTGGTAATTAATAATCTTTGCCCCTAAGCTTGACCGATCTTTTTATGATAATTGTACAATTATATAAAATTTGAAATAAATTGAGGATGTGCAAAGAGAAGGCCGAATATGGAATCTTATAAATATGCGTGAAAGCTGACTCAATTCTCTCAATCTGAAAAAGTAGTGCGCATCAAAAAGTTAATAAACTACAAAATTAATTGAGATGAAATATATGGCTGATATGAAGAAACAATAACTAGATATAAGTAGTGGATAATAAAAGAATATAAGTAACTAGATGTAAGTTGCATTTTGCCTTAAGGTAATCTGCAAACTTCCAAATGAGTAAATAATCGATTTAATCAATAACTAAGGCATCGTGCCTTAAGGTAAATTGCTGGAACTTCTCGTACCGAAAATTAAATTATTAAAAAAAACTTTGCACAGCTATGGAAAAATTAGATTTTTTAGAAATTTTGAAATTTTTGAAAATATTTGACTTTTTTGAAAAATTTGTTTTCTTTAGTATTTCGATTTTTTAAATTTTGAACATTTTTTTAAGCAATCGCGCTGCATAGCTGATTTGAAGTCGAAATATCAAAGCGCGTGAGCGCCGCGAAGTCGCCTAACCTGTAAATATTGGTACGGAACCCATATAAATGAACACAAAATTTGTACTTGTTTTTATAATCTTTATAAAATATCTGATAGTACGATGTACATACATATGTCTAAGGTTCATTTTTGACCGCCAAATGGCATTGTTTTTTACTTTTTTTATTGGAACTCCGGAGACGCTAGACCTGTCTTTACAAAAAGTTTACCAGTTGTTCATTTCGTCTATACAAGTAAAATGTTTGAATTATTTAAATCGGACTCTCTGTTATCTCAAAAACTGAAATACCATTTTTGGCACTTTTGGCCCGGTATCTCCAAAACGGCACACCTGCCTTTGCCAAAAACTATTCAGAACTTCTCCTGGTCAGTAGGAATCGAATGTTTTTTGAATTATTTAAATCGTTTGATCCGTGTTCGCAAAATTGTCGACGAAAATTTGTATCCGCACACACACAAGCACACATACACACACACATACATCGATTTTTTCTAAGGTATGCCAAAATGTTCAGAAACCTCTCAAACGTAAAGATATATAAAAAAAATCATTTTCGATTACTATAACTTAGGGGGCGTCCATTAATCACGTGATCGATTTTTTAAGAATTTTTGGACCCCCCCTCCACCTTGGTGATATTCAAAAATACCCCCCTCCTCACTCACCAAACTTCTTGTGTATTTTTAGTTACAAGAAAAAATGGACCATTTTTGAAATGTTTGAATTTTTTTTAAAATTCACCTCCCCTAAAAACCTTACGTGATTAATGGTCGCCACCACCTTACCCTACGAGAAGTTAATAACTGAGATTTAGACACTTTTGAAATTGTGACAATAAAATTTTTAATTTTTTTTACGGCCCAATATTTCAAACTCTGATGAGTGTTTATAACTAAACCACTTTTCGTATGCATCTAATATTTTAGGATGTTCCATGAATCATAATTATATGAAGTTATATCACAATCGTCAAAAAAATGTTTGTAATTAATTACGATAACGAAAAACAATCAGCACGATTCTCAACTGATAACTTTACATTTCAAGATCTTGTAAGTATTTTAGATTTAATCAATGAGATATCTATATATATCACGTATTGAAAACGGATGAGTCAATTTCAGTTATTCAGAAAAACAGTCAATGTGCACGTTTTCGGTAAAAGCATTCCAGCCGTTTTGGAGTTAGAGGAAAACGTACAAAAATGTCCTTCAGAAGTGAGACAAGGACTATATATAAATAAATTAAGTAAGATTTTAAAAGCATGCATATATTTTTCACTGAATTTACCGATAAATATAATTTCAATTCCATTTAATATATATTCTTCAAAATCCTTATTAAAAGATTCACATTAAAAGCTAATGAGATTCTCTTTAGAGGCTTAGGAGATTCACTTTAAAATCACACATTTAGGCTATGCGTTCATTACTTTCAAATTTCATTGAGAAATTTAAAAAGTAAGCGTTGGTTTTTTACTTAATTTGGCTTCTCAAACAACAATAAGGTGCAAAGTAAAGATAGTTAAAACGATATTGTATAGAATACAATAATATATAGAATACAAATATAGAAACACCCAATTAACAGTTTTTACAGAGATTTTAACAATATGCCTGCATCAGTGGTTTCTAACCTTTTTATAAATTCAAATTTGAAACTAGCCAAGAATTCAAAATTCTTCAATTATTGGGCCACATGTACATATAAAAGTTTATTTTTTGCAATTATTTGAAATCATGCAAAATTTATTTTTTGTTTTTTTTGGAATTTTTTTTTTTTTTTTTTGATAACTTGATTGGTATTTTAAGAAATTTTAGTGCTTTTTATAATTTTTTAATATTCAAGTAATTGTGAAAATTTTAATAGTTTTGAAAAATTGGAATATTCATCAAAATTAAAAATTATTTAAAACAACTATTCCAAAAAAATAGATATAATAAATTTATGAAAGATAATTTAGAAAATTATTATTAGAAGAAATTCTTATAATAAGAATTCCGCAAACAATACACGATTCTCATGATTAACTTCCCATAGAGTAAGTTATAGTAATGGGCCAAAAATCGAAAATGAAAATTTTTGCATTTCTCCACGTTTTGAAGGTTTCTGAACATTTTGGCATACCTCAGAAGAAATGGATGTGTGTCCGCATTTTTTCGTTCACGTTTTCGTGCGCACGGATCAACCGATTTGAATAGTTCAAAAAACATTCAATTCCTATTGATAGGGAGATGTGCTGATTAGTTTTTGGCAAAGGCAGGCCCAGCCGTTACGTTACGGAGATATGGAGCAAAGAGTGCAGAAAGTACAAATCGAGGTTTTGAGAGAACGAAGTGTTTGATTTGAATAATCTAAAAAACATTCAATTTGTAATGATTGGGAGAGCCATTTCAAA